TTTTTTTTTTTTTTTTTTTTTTTTTTTTTTTTTTTTTTTTTTTTTTTTTTTTTTTTTTTTTTTTTTTTTGAAGCCAGAAAATAAAACTGTTTAAATTTGTTAATGTATCACTTGGTAAAAAAAAGAAAAAAATTGTTTCTTTTCAATTTTTTTAAACATATGAATTAAAAATAATAACTTGTTTATTAATATATAAAGCATGCAACTATATTAGAAAAATTGATCTTTTCAGACTATATTATTTAAATTATTATTTGATTTAATATCATTAAAATATTACTTTTTGAAAAAACCCACTTAAAGTTTTCAATAGTACCTACTATAAAATTATGTGAAGATTCGAGTTTCTTTTACTTTTCTAATATTAAAAGCTTAATCACATGAATAATGCAACTCTATTTGACAAATTTATGCTGCACAATAAATTATATAAAAGTAAATGCAAAACAATAAATTTTAGTAAAAATTTTTTTGTTGAAAAAACCCACTTATCGTGGGTAATTTCAAGGTGGGCCCACACAATAAAACCCGGGCGGGTTTTTTCAAAGTGGGCTCACTTGGCGAACCCTGGTTCACACTAGCAATGGGAATTTAGTGGTCCAATAGGACCACCTAGGTATTCATTTAGTGGTTCAAAAAATCAATATAGTCCTCAAACTTGAAAAAAAAATTTCGAACTTTACAACTGTATAATTCATGTTATGGTACTTGTCAAAAGTTATTAATTGCTATCTATAACACCCTAAATATAATTAGGTTTATTACTCGATAATAATTAAAGATTAAAATTCATTAAAATTAAATAAAAAAAAAGTTTAAATAATGTTAGTAAATAGATTCAACATACAGATTAAAATGCTGAGACCAAACAAATAAATAAATGATGATTTTTAATATGCCAATTTGATTTTAGGCTTGTCCTATAGGTCCAACTTTTAATATGCTTGAACCTAATGCAAAACAATGTCAAAGGCTATGGCTTGAACACCCCATTCTAACTTTGAGGGACATGGCTGCCATCAAAGTTACAGATTTTAATGGATGGAAGGTATATTTATTATTTTGTTAAAAGATTTATAATTTGTAGATATTGGAGATTTGAGATCTTTGGCAACATAATATATTTTTCAGACAAAAATTGTTGATATCGTCTATCCTGTGGAAAATGGAAGTGAAGGCTTAGTACCTGCTATTGATCAGATTTGTTTAGAAGCATACACTGCTGCAAAAGAGGGATACAGTTTCATAGTATTATCTGATAGAAAAGCTGATGAACGCCATGTGCCTGTTAGGTAGTTATAGTAAAATTACACTATTTATTTATTGTAAATTATTTTGATAATCTAAAATTATATAAATATATTTTCATTTAACAAAAATGAAATAATACCATTTAACACACTGAGTTCCACACATATTTTTAAGGAAGTCCCAGTCGGGCCACTCGCATTGCATATGACTGGGTTCGTACATACCGAGAATTTCGGGAAAACTGTTGTTGTTTCTCAACCCCACTGGTCTAGCGGAGCTAGACCAGTGGGGATGAGAAGCAACAACAGGAATAATAATCGACTTACCCACAGTGGTTGACTTTATACACCCAACTTCTTTTTGCTGTTTTGTAATAAAAAAGACAAATCAACTTAAATAACGGCTCCACTTATACAATGGGTCGACTTGTACACCAAGATATATAGGATAGTTAAATAAATTTTTTTTTCTGATAAATAAGCACAGAGTGAAAGCGAGAACTTTCACTGAATAAATGCATTTTTTATTGACAAAGCCGATGTAATGCTCTTGAAAATATAAATAATATTGTCTTATGATTTATTTGCTAGAAATTTTTAGAGTTGAATTACCATACTGTCATTTTTTTTATGTTTAACAAAATTTCAACTTGCTTTTTTATTTTTTGGTCAGGAAAGGTCTTAAAGGAAAAGATTACTAAGTGATACTTTAGAAAAAGAATTCAAAATTCCACGCTTGATAAGAGATTTTGCAATAAAATTTTCATATTTGGTTTTTCTCAGCAGTATGTATACTAGAAATTTTCTATCTATTAACCAAAAATAGGAGGGTTGACTTCTACACTGGGGTATATGATAAATGTATGTTAGAATAAAATATCATTTTTCTTTATAACTCAGGGTGCATAGGGTTTTTAAAAAATGCTTATTTTTGATTTACGTTTCATAAAAACCCTTAAAGGTGCTTTTTTTATTCTGGGTTTGTAAAAAGTGCTTAATTTTTTATCTTTTAAAAAGAGATTTTTTCTTTGCCTTGTCGATTGTCGTTTTAAATTACAAAAAATGCATGATTTTCACAATTTTCTTTGCAATATTTATTAGAAACTATTTATTTTATCCTGATTATGTAAAGTTTTTGAAAATATTTTTGAATTTTATTTATTTTATGTTTATAAATTAAGAATTTTAAACGACTGAAAATTTTTTTTATTGCTGCACAGATCCTAATTACGAATTGTTTTTTTCTTTTTGGAAAGTGATTGAAAATATTTTTTGAGTGCTTAAAAAGTAAGTAAAAGGTGCTTATTTTTGTTGTAAAATCTGGCTATGCACCCTATAAATGTTTGTTAACTAGAATCAAAATAAATAATATAATTGTATATTTGTAGTGCTTTGCTTGCTTTGGGAGCTGTTCATCTTCATCTAGTAAAAGAACGACAGCGTATGAAAGTTGGACTTATTGTAGAGACTGGTGAAGCACGAGAAGTTCATCAATTGTGTGTTCTTTTAGGCTATGGTGCAGATGCGATATGCCCGTATTTGGTTTATGATATTGCCTTTGGAATCAATTTAGAATTGCCTTTTAGCCTTGCAATCAGTACAGAAGTAATTGAAGCCAATTATATAAAAGCTCTGTCCATTGGCATCTCCAAGGTAATGTAGTTAAAATACAACCTAAAGCATATGTATTTTTGACGGAAAGTTAATTTAAATAATTTTTATCCCTTGCCTGTTTATGCTATTTCAATTTTATAAACTTATGGATGGTTCAGTTTTTTTTATAATTAGTTCTATAAAATTTTTTCACATTTTACCAATGAAATTGCTTTGTTTGTATTTAAAATATTTTTAACACATTGAATGCCACACTATTTTTACATGGCTTGCCCGTCTGGCAAAAATCATCTTCTCAGTATGTATTGCATTAATTTCTTCAAACCATTTTAGTAACGATAATAATATAAAAAAATTGAAAGCATTAAAAATTTACTCGAATTATGTTTTTCTAATAATCTTGGCTTCACCGGTCACTGGTGATCCCCGTGGCGCTACAAACAAACTCAGTGCCGGTCACAGGTGACCCCTATGGCATTCAACGTGTTAACTTCTTTAGTAGGAAATACACTGGGTGTATTTTTTATTCAGTTTCAGAATATTTTGAAGGCTAAAGTTGGAAGTTCAGAACAGTAGAATTTGTTGGAAAAGTATGAATTGTAGGATGAATTGTAAGGAGGATAGTTGATGAAATGCTTGTTTATAATTTATGCTGTTCAAATATTATAAAGTTGAATTTTAATTATTTTGTTCTTATTTAATATTTATTGTTAGTATAATAATTTAGACATTTTTAATAAAAAGCCATTGCTTACATTTTTTACTTTCCAAATATTTATTATTACTAGTGCAATTATTTTAAAGAAATGGTAATTAAATTTATTTTGTATTTTCCTTTTAGATAGCTGCAATATTAAGTTCAATTTCTATAGTTTTGTATGAAACTATAATTTAGTTAAGATTAAGTAGAAATTATACAATTGTTTCATTAAAATGCAACCTTCATACTTATGTCTTTTATAGGTTATGGCTAAGATAGGAATTTCTACTCTGCAAAGTTATAAAGGGGCCCATATTTTTGAAGCATTGGGATTAGATTATGATGTTATTGATAAATGTTTTCAAGTAAAGTGTATTTATATTTTCTGTCTCTTTTCATTAAAAAAATTTTAGAAATAGAAATATGAACTTTTACACAATATATCGTCAAAATTATCAATACTTCATGATATTATTGTGATATTTTTATTAAAATTTAAAAATATTTTTGTTATAAAAATGGAAAAAAACACAAATTTTTTTCTAAATATTATAATTATATTTATAATTTTAAAAATAACAGAATAGTTATAATTAAATTAACAACTAGGAGATAAAAAAAAGTTGTTTTTATGTACGTGTATAAACAAAACCAAACTTTTTTTTATTCAAATTTAAATTCTGATCTATATTGAGAAAAAAAGTCCCCTGTTTTTAAGTAAAATAATAATAAATAATGACATTTTCGAAATCTGAAATTTTCTAATTTTTTTTTTCATGTTTGCTATTGGTCAAAAATTTTCAATATTTTCTAATGGTTTAATTTTTTTTATTTAAAAAATGCACTTATTAATATTGATATTTTTTTGAAAATGTAAGCTTAAAACTATAAATTGTGGGAAAAAGTTCTCGAAATTTATAAAAGCAATTATTTTTTTAAGAAAGAAGATGTATATACACAGATATTTTCGCTGATACACTTATTATATACAGACATACAGAGGGTGGACAAAATAATGTAGACACTTATATATTAATAATTTTTTTTATTTTTCTTAAAAAATACTTAGAGAATCATTTTATAAATTTAGAAGTGTTTAGGTTATGCATTTTCTCATAATTATCAATGACGTTTAAAGTTATTAGAGGTTTAAGGGTCCAACAATAAATTATAAATGGAAAATAGTGTTTTTGAATACCCGAAGTCAAAAAATGTAGCAACAAATTTGTAACTTATAACAATAATTTTGGTTATTATATGCAATAATTGCACAAATTTCTTAAACCTAACTTAAATATTTATGGAGATATTGACATTTTTGTAAAAAACTAATTTTTTTGTTTTAATTTTTTTGTTGCTATAACTTAAAAATATTCAATAAACTTAAACACAGTTTTTGGAATAATTTAACATTGAATACAAAATTATTTCTTTAAAATTTGAAAACATTTGTTTAATACTGTGCAAGATATGAATTAAAATAATTCTTTTATACTATGCATGGGCAAGAAAAATTTAAATATTTTTTTCTTAGTTCTGTAGTGAATCATATTTGGCAACTAATAAGTCTGATTTCAATATTTTATAAATTTAAAAAGTTTCTAGCAATTTTCTAAGTTGTTTTCGTACTTTTTTAAAGAAAACTCTGTTCTAGTATATTGGTGTTTATATCATTTCGTTAAATATGCTTTTTTTATAGCATTCACATTTTTTTTAAAAATTAGAGCACTCATATATTGTTGAATGAGGAAATGAAAATCATTAATTTGTTGTGACAATTTTTTTTTCTTAATTTCAAACTAATTTCTCATAATAATTTTTTTGTTAAGATAAAATTTAATTTTAACGTTGCAAGGTTGTTTGGAGTTTTCTTTGAGCCAAGTAACATTAAAATTTTTGCGTGGAATTTTATATTATTTACTACTATTTTGATGCATTATGAAAGTTTAATGTGAATTATCGAAACAATTTTTTATGGAATGTTGTCATTTTTTAATTATATTTTTTGTGTTGTAGTAATTTGTTTTAGTTTATTTATATTAATTAATCTAAACTTGCCAAATATATGTCCTTCTTTAAAAAAAATAAATAAAAATATTGTTCCATTATTTTATCAGTTTCAAAATTTATCTAATTTATTATTTATAATTAGATTTCCTGTACTTTATAATAAGCTTTATTTTTATATTTTTGAGATTATTTAATTTTTTGAATTATTATTATTTGTTATTAATGAAATTTTTTTTCAGAATACACCTTCAAGAATCAGTGGGGTTAATTTTGAAGTACTTGCTCAAGAGGCAATGGAGCGTCATCACTTTGCATTTTGTGCAAGTAATGGAGATAATGAAATTCTGAGAAATCCAGGTTTTTACCATTGGAGAAGCGGTGGTGAAGCTCATGTAAATGATCCTCAAAGTGTTGCCAATCTACAGGTTTGAAACTTATGTATTTATATTATAGTTCAGTAGAATTGAATATTTATAGAAGTTCAAATTTATCAGTTTGGTATGTTAAAAATTCTCTTTTATGGTGTTGATTCACTTTTATTCTTTATTTTTATTCTTTTATTATTATAATTTACTGTCATATGTTAGTTGTTACTTATGTGTGAAATCAATCCTTCTAAGTTGGAAATGTTTTTTATTGGTGTAAAAATGTGAAATAACATGTGAAAAATAATTGTTATATTGATGCATATCAATGCAACATTTATGGTTTTAAAAATCTTTTATTACTAAAATATTAAAATAATTTTTGCGATAAAATTTATTTTTTTGTTGAAAAATAATGTGTGTAAAGTATGTGCATGTCATAGGTAATCAAAATCTCTTAAAATAAGTTGTAAGCATTGAATTTAATTCAGACCTTTTCTTGAAATTTCGTCAATAAAATACTTTTAAATGTTTTGAAAATAATATTGTAATAATATTATAACCATATATATATTATATGACCCATAGATATAATATATTTGGTGAAGTTTCTGTTTTTGTTTTAACCATCTAAATCTCTCAAGTTTATTATTCCAGCGGTGTATAAGTCAACTTTTCATGCCCCCAAAATTTTACGGAAAACAAGGGGGCGACTTATACACCAGTAGTAAAATATTTTGATTTATTTATTTTTAAAAATAAATCTCTTTATCAAATTACCCTTTTCAAAAAATTATTTTTAATTGTTTTATGCAATTAATTTTAGGTTTTATCTCATCATATTTTCTTTACATATCAAGGTTTTTTAGAAATGATACTTAAAATTATGTTCAGAAAAAAGGTATGAATAAGAAATGTTAAGATAGTTCATTCAAGAGTATTTAAAAAAAATAGAACACAATGAAAACTTTTGAGCATGCAATAAAGCTACAAATTTAAAGATTACGAAACATTGATATCAGATTCATGAATGTCAGCAGTGTTGGCATATGGGTCTTACTCTGCAATGGATTCTACTTCATCCTCATCAGCTGGGTTTCACAAAAAATCGTCTTCACCCTCATCCAAAGAATTCGAAACTCCAAATTTTAAAAAATATTTTGCAATAACATTTGAATTCACGTTTTGTCACAGATCTAGTCTCAATTGACTCATGATGTCCTTAGGAATAATAATCAACTTACTGACAGCAGTCGACTCAACATAACAGAAGTTTGCTATCTCATAACCAAAGCTATGGTGTTGATTTATACACCAAGATATACAGTTTTTCTTTATTAGATTTATTATAATCATCCATTGTTCTTGAATTTGGTATAATTATTATAGAAACTAATTTTTTCATATCCCTTCTTATTTGTGACTGGAAAGAATTTATATATTGATATATATTTAAAGTTCTTTATGGGTTAATTAGTGTATTTTATTTTCTACATAATCATCATCTATTATTACCTTTTTGTATTATTTTTAATATACTCCTGTTAATAGCAGACTAATTTTTTAAAAATAAAATAGAGTGTAATTACAATTCAGACCGTTGTGTATCAGCTTGTCTGAGTTGTAAAGGCAAGCAGTGTTCCATGCTGACTACATTGTCATTGTGTCTCCTTGGTTAGACACTGGCTGTTGCAGGAATATTTTTATTTTATTTCTTTTAATGACATTTTAAATTCATGACTCATTTTATGACAAATTCCTAAGTGCTCTTCTTTTCAAATTTTGTAAATTGATTACATTTATATTCTATTTCCCTTGATCTAAATTAATGTTTTAAAGCATATTGATATTTTATATTTTATAACCGTTGCTGAACAGCTGACCCAATTTTTTGGGTTTACGACTACTAATGTTCAACTCGGTAGCCTTGTAATTTTGAACCCAATCCAGAAGACAAGGGATCTCCTGAATCGAGTATTGGGAGAAATTTACCTTCGCGAGAACTTTTTGAGGGAGCTAACCCGCATTTGCGTTAAATGGATAGGAAGACCACAAGAACCTCCCACAGTTAGCCTGATGGCAAGGGGACTCTAACCCATGATCCGTCTACCCCTGAGGATATTTCACATCAGCACTGTGGTTGGTGCAAGCTGGATGTGGAATTCATATCAAATGAGATTCGAACCTGTTCGCCTCATTGGAAGGCAAACGCTCTATCCCCTGAGCCATCGCGGCTCAAGCATATTGATATTACTAAATATTACGTAACATTAGTTTAATTAGGATATTATTTTTTTAGGAGGCTGTTCGAACAAAGTCTCAAAATGCTTATGAGCGCTATGTTGAAAGTACCATGGACAGTGTTCGTGAATGCACTCTCAGAGGACAATTAGAAATGATGTTTCAAAATAAGGGAGCTCTTCCATTATCAGAAATTGAGCCTGCAGCAGAAATAGTGAAACGATTTGTTACTGGTATTTAACGTTTGGCTTATTGTTTATTCAGGATAAAAATTCTGTGGCCATTTTTTTGCAATTTTAGTTTACTGCTTCTTAATTCTCAATTATTTTTTAAATTCCAGCCTGGATATATAAAGAGTTTTAAAGCTGTATTTTGTATTGTTCCTTTATTGTTCTGTTTTTGTATAATTTAATAGGAGCTATGAGTCTTGGTAGTATTTCAGCTGAAACCCATGAAACCTTAGCCATCTCAATGAATCGTATTGGTGGGAAATCCAATACTGGGGAAGGAGGTGAAAGCGCAGAGCGATGGAGCTCTGCTGATATATTACAGAATAAACGATCTGCAATTAAGCAAGTAAATGCTTTCATTTTTATAAGTGTAGTTTTTTATCCTTTGTGACTTTTAATTTTTATAAAGGTGTCCCAAAAGTATTTAAAAAAATTGTTAATTTCTTGCCTAATATAGTGAACTTTCATGATGCTCTTTGTAAACAGGATTGAAGTCTGAAAGTTACATGATTTTTTCACTCTCCACGCTTTTCCACTTTTTTTTTTTACCATGGTTTTGGCGAAAACCTTAAGATGCCTATTTATAATGAATATAGTGTGGGTCAATGTTTAGCATAAATTAAGAGTAGAATGTATTTTTGTTGTGAATACAGTAAATATTTTACAGTTTTTTTTGCCTGGTTGTTGAAATAATTGCAATGATCTAAAACAACCATTTTTGCAAATATTTCAAATAAGCTCATGTCTTTTTTATTTTTTGTTACTAGAAAAAGAAAATCAATCAAACAATTAAACTTGTAATTTAAAAGAAATATCTGTTACAATTTCTTATTATATATATATATATATATATATATATATACAGTGAAACCTCCAGTTATGGACACTCCTGCAAAACGGACGCCTCTCAATACGGACTNTTCACGAAATAACTTTATAGATCTTTTAAATTGGTTTTGTTGACAGTATTTTCAATTTTACAATTTGTATAATTTATTTATATTCAAAACAATAAATGTTTTAGATTTTTCTTAACTCTCTAATTTAAAATCAAGTATAATTTATAATTTTTTAGGTTTCCGAAGAAATTGCTGAATGTCGTCATTCAACTCCTGGAGTTGGTCTTATAAGTCCCCCTCCTCATCATGACATCTATTCGATTGAAGATCTATCAGAAGTAAATTTTGTGTTTTTTTCATTTCATATTGTTCTCATCCTATAAAATGCTTATTTTTTTAAATCATTTTTATGAAAATTAATTTCTTTAACATCTACTGTTTCTAATTATTACATTTCTGAGGTTGAAACTAGTGGCAAATTTCATGAATTTGTTTTTTTTCTTGATTTAAAAAATAAGGAAAAAAAAAAAGAAATTCTGTGTAAGTTTAATTTATTCCTTAAAGTCTGTGAGAATTGTAAAAATTATAAATGTTTTGATATAAAATAGTTTAATTATAAATTTTTTAAAGTTTGTTTTTATATAACATGTCTTTTTAAGATTTTCTTTAATTTGAGACTGCCGATCACTTGGTTTTTTAGTCTGTACCATGATATTTTTTAAAACCATTGGATACATGATTCAGTAGCTATGTTGGTCAACAGTGTTTCTTTAAAACCAGCTTACGGAAAGTCAGAAATAAGAAAAGTTAACATAATCTGTCTTAAGTATGGTTCAATAGAATGAAAGAACAGCATGGTAAAATTGCTCGTTTCTAATCATTTATTTTTATGACAATATCTTAAAGCTTTTCATAAAAGATAATATTTTGAATATTCTTAGCATCATAAAATCTTGAGCAAACTGTTATAGTATTTAATTGTACTTTTATTTTAAATTCGTAATTTGTGAGATGATTGTTGTTTGCAGGAACTATGTAAAATTGCACTAACATTGCAGTATTAAATGAATTTTCTCATATATATATATGGGATAATAGGGTGTTCTATAAACATCACCTTTAATAATTAATATTTTTTCTATCTTTTTGAAAAATGAAGTAAAGAAATGTGAACATTAGGGGTCTCAAATTGATGTAGGCAAAAAAAAAAATGTTATCAAAACTTAGTGAACCAGCATTGAGGAACGCAAGATATAAAACAGTAAAATCGGTTTAATTGCTTAAAGATGGTTTAATTAATTGCTTTTCCTTTCTTCTCAGCAAGTAAATAGGTTTTGATGATTTTAATCCGGCTTTCTTCATTAATGGCTTGTTAGGTTTTGATAATGATTTGATTTTTCCTTACTTAAAAATTATGTTGTATCCCTTATTGTAAAGGGACACTTTTTTACTTTATTTTTGAATAGGGTTTTAAAATTATTTATTGGCAACAATGATGCATTGGACACCTTGTATTTATTGAAGTCAGCAATTTTATGTATTCCATCCAAGCAATAAGTAAAAATATTGTTTTAGGTTCAACATCAATTCATTAGATTTTTACTATAATTATTTATGTAGGATATATATAACTATTTATTTAATCAAATGTAATTATAATAATATTTTTTTTTTTAGTTTATGTTATAACAAATAAAGGAAATTATTAATTCTTTGTATAATAATTGAAGCTCAATGTGTGAAGCTATTTCTTAATTTCATTGAAGGAAAAAATTCCTAATTTCATAGCTGTTTCCTGATTTCATGGCATAAATGTTATCAGTGTCATCCCATTAGTACATTCATAATTTTGAAATTAAGGATTTATTCTAACTATATGATTGTAATTGTGATGCAGGTGGGACAATCAATAACTATTAGCTGAAATAGGAAATTGTCAGTATAAAAAATTGTCTCAGCATTTTTTACATATAATTGTTAGTGTAACTTGGTTATTTTTAACACTTTTTATAAAAGTAAAATGAATATACCTTTCTGATCTTATATTACACTACTTTTTATTGCAAGAAATGACTCCTGATACAGATTACTAACTGTTTCTTTGGAAAAACATGGTTCCATGTGATTCTATGAAGCACTCTCTAAATTTATTTCATCAATAAAAGTTCCATATATAAAATACACTTGTAAAATTAATTTTATTTCAAAGTTTGACTAAGACTCTTGAATATGTGGTGTTAATTTTAAAATATATTTTTCACATGTCTCATAAGCATCACAAACCTTTAAGAAACATCAAATAAGACTATTATCAAAGCGATGGTCACAAGTCTAATAATTTATATTTTATTTTATTCATTTTTGATGCATTATCATTTGAAGTATCTTATCATTTAGAACTGTCAAACACAGCAAAATAAAGTATATGTGTATGATTCATAAAGCGACAAATTTATTTGATAAGTAACATTAAGTAAAAACACATTTAAAATGATTTTAGTGTTTACTCTGTTCAAAATAAGAATGGAGCAAGCCAGTAACACTTATTTGTGCAAATAGGTGGCATCAGGGAGATTTGGAGTGACTATAGGCTACTTAGCAAATGCAGATGAAATTCAAATAAAAATGGCTCAAGGTGCAAAACCTGGTGAAGGTGGAGAGCTTCCTGGCCATAAGGTTAGTTTTATATCTTTTATTAACTTTTTTATAATTGCATATACTGCCATGCAATCGAGAAAGTGCTTCTTCATAGATTTCAAGAAAAATGACTTGATAACTATTTTCATTCTTTTGCTAATACTTTCCAAGATAAATGGAATCTCAGAAAACAGAAAAAAATTATCGATTCGTAAAAAATTTTGTGTCTGCAGTTTCTAGCTTTACATGTAAAAAGGCCAAATATTTAAAATTCTGAAATTTGAATTTTTTGTTGTTTGCATTGATTTTTCTATTGCATAGTTGATTTTTTATTATACTGCAGATATAATGTTAAAAGAAGTTAAAAATAATTATTATTCTTTTCACGAAATAACTTTATAGATCTTTTAAATTGGTTTTGTTGACAGTATTTTCAATTTTAAAATTTGTATAATTTATTTATATTCAAAACAATAAATGTTTTAGATTTTTCTTAACTCTCTAATTTAAAATCAAGTATAATTTATAATTTTTTAGGTTTCCGAAGAAATTGCTGAATGTCGTCATTCAACTCCTGGAGTTGGTCTTATAAGTCCCCCTCCTCATCATGACATCTATTCTATTGAAGATCTATCAGAAGTAAATTTTGTGTTTTTTATTTCATATTGTTCTCATCCTATAAAATGCTTATTTTTTTAAAATCTTTTTTTAAAAAACCAATTTCCTTAACATCTACTGCTTCTAATTATTAAATTTCTGAGATTGAAACTAGTGACAAATTTTATGATTTCGTTCTATTTCTTGATTTAAAAAAATAAGGAGAAAAGAAAAGAAATTCTGCAGAAGTTTAATTTATTCCTTAAAGTCTGTGAGAATTGTAAAAATTATAAATGTTTTGATATAAAATAGTTTAATTATAAATTTTTTAAAGTTTGTTTTTATATAACATGTCTTTTTAAGATTTTCTTTAATTTGAGACTGCCGATCACTTGGTTTTTTAGTCTGTACCATGATATTTTTTAAAACCATTGGATACATGATTCAGTAGCTATGTTGGTCAACAGTGTTTCTTTAAAACCAGCTTACGGAAAGTCAGAAATAAGAAAAGTTAACATAATCTGTCTTAAGTATGGTTCAATAGAATGAAAGAACAGCATGGTAAAATTGCTCGTTTCTAATCATTTATTTTTATGACAATATCTTAAAGCTTTTCATAAAAGATAATATTTTGAATATTCTTAGCATCATAAAATCTTGAGCAAACTGTTATAGTATTTAATTGTACTTTTATTTTAAATTCGTAATTTGTGAGATGATTGTTGTTTGCAGGAACTATGTAAAATTGCACTAACATTGCAGTATTAAATGAATTTTCTCTCAAACCTGAATCAGAAAGATATATTTGAATGTATAAAATTTCATATGCTTAAAAAAATATGAAGATGGTAATAAAAGTTGACATGTTTTGAGTGACCGAAAATAGGCACTTATTTTCGAGACTCTCTAAACGGAATGAGGAACTGGCAAGTGAGAATAGGCTCCTATTTTTGAGTGTTTAAAGCATGTCAACTTTTATCACCTTCTTCATATTTTTTGAAGGAAATTAAGTTTTATATTATCAGGTATAATATTGCAGGGTTTGGATATAAACTAAATTATTACAGTGTCTTCTCAATTTATTATTAAGTGAAAAGAGATAATAAATACCTATTGATTTGTTGAGCTGGATGTAGATATTTCTCTTATCTCTGCACTTTACTTTCTTTTACTTATTGATAACTGTAATCAATAGCATAGCTTAAGAAAAATTACCAAGCAACTGTTAACTTGTTAATAGTAAGTTTTTATAACAAATATAACAAAATTATAAACAGAAAATATTTTGAGTTGCTAAATACCGAAAATAGAAATATTTCTTCTCAAAGAATTTCATTATTTATTGAATTGTAAAACAATGAAAAGCTAAGAGGCCGTAGGCTGAACTTAATGAAATTGGGTTTAAATTCGACAATTATGAGTCGATTTATAATACACTTAGTTTTAATTTGTACGAAGATGTAAAATTGGTTGAATACATAATCATGAAATATATTTATAATGATTATTTTATATTTACACTAATAATGTTATGTTTTGTAGTTAATATATGATTTAAAATGTGCAAATCCATCTGCTCGTATATCAGTGAAGCTTGTGTCGGAAGTTGGTGTTGGTATTGTTTCTTCAGGAGTAGCTAAAGTAAGTCATTTTTTTTTGTAAAATTTTCTTTAAAATTAGTGATGTCTTTCAATTTCTTTCAAAATTTAAAACTTTGAAACATTTTTATAAAGATTTTATCTAAAACATGAATGAGTTTTTGTTACTAGATATAAAACCATATCACAATTTATAATGATTCAAATTGTTGAATATTTACTTCAAATTTAAATTTTTTTTTATTGGCCTTATCCAACAAGGTAGATATTGTATACTGAGTGGCAATTAGTATACAATATCTACCTTGTAAATTTTAAATCAAATATTTGTAATTATTAAGAAAATTTAAATTATAATTCATTCAGTAATTTGTATTTCTGAAAATTAATGTATGAAAATGACTTAAAAGAAAACTAAGCACTATTTAGCATTGACCGTAACACTTTCATTGACTTCAGTTATATTTAATATTTTAGACCAATTCAATGAATTGTTGATTTTCTCTTTTAGCAGTGTTAAAAAATAAGTTTAAATTAAATTAATGAGAAAAGGGTAAACACATTGAGAAAGAATATTTTTTATTTCCTCAAAATCAACTACTAGAAGTAAGAAAATATGAGTTAGTTTTGAAATTGAGGAGATTTATTCATTAAATTCCTCATTGAGTGAATATCCTACAACGGTTAATAAAAGTAAAACTTAATTTGTATAGTATTTTATTCTATTTAAGTATTAGTTTCTTTTCCTTTCTTTCTTTTTCTCTATTTCTTATCTATCTTACTGGATTTGTGATTTTCAGAAAATTATATTTTTTTATAACTAATTCAAAATAAACAGTCTATCAAAAATCGAGTCTTTGAAAAAAAATGAATAATTCATTCGAGATTTTAATAAAGTTTAAATTTAGGTTCCCTTCTAATATTTTATCTAATCAATTATCTAATATTTTAAGCATATGCAGTAACAAATCTTATGATTTATGCTTTTAATTTTCAAAAAATTAATTTATTTCTTTATCATTTTATTTAAAAGTATTTGATATTAAAAATTCAATGATTACAGAATTATCAAAATGGTGAATTGAAGGGAGGGAGCATATACTTATTTACTCTTGGAAAAAATGTTTAGTTACTCACAAGTTGTGTTTTTCACAATATTATTAAAATTCTATTTTTGAATAATTGGTTTAGGAAATATTAAAGCCCATTACTGATTTTAATACAGTATTGAATTTTTAAATTATATGGACACTTTTTACTTAACCCTCCGCTTAGAGCTCTCACGATTTGAGTGGGGTATCAGTTTCATCCGAAACTATAGGCCACGTGAATATCGTGGAAAAAGAATCCCTCCCTTGTTTCAATACTGATCCCGCTATTTCCCCCTTTAGGTTAAAAAAACATTATTTTATGCTTATTTTTGCTGTAGATGGCACTAGAAGGTTCAGGATTTTTTTTCTCTTGCTTAATTTTTTCCCCTGTGTATTTGTGAGTTTGCATGCTTTTTGTATTTTGTTAGCTCAATAACCATTAATGAAAGATATGGATTTGCTGAGTATTAGCGGCTTTATATGTGGAAATAACAAACGAAAATATTTTGATTGTGAAGATATTGATTTGGATTCGGAGTATTCCATAAATCTGGGGTTTTCTTTTATTTTTTCTGTTTTAATACAAAATTCAATTCGTACGCAGAGATGACAATATTTTTTTGGGTTAAGTATTTTTTATTGAAGTATTTAATTCAAGTATTTTTTATTAAAGTATTTAATTCAAGTATTTTGTAATAACTCTCAGAACTGTTTTATGCAGTTCTAATGTAGAAAGAGATTGCTTGACGGTATGAAAAGAATTAGCTTGTTGTAAGATGTGTCTGCTCAGAGTAGAACAACTACTTTTAATATTTTAAAGAACTTGTTAATTTAATGCATCCAAAAGAAATTTATACTTATGATAATGTAGTTACCATAGACAATAATCTTGTACTGCATAGTGATTTGGAAAAATCAGAAATATTTAAAGAGGTTATAATATCAGGAGATATATAAGAAGAGGACGGTGGTAAATCAGAAGAATTTCAGTAAAATGCCATTATATTAAGCAACTGGCTTTGTAAACAGTGGACATAAAAGGACTACCCTGAATAATCTAATGATCACATTTTCATGTTCTAGGACTCAAATCTTAATGGTTCAAGGGGGCAACTTTAAATATTCTAATTAGTGCAGGTGATATTTTAAGTTATGAGATCATACACAGATATGTACTATTTATGAATAGACATACTTCTTTTTTTCTACAGAATCTTAATGGTTTGAAATATACAAAAGCAAAATTTAAATTAAGGGTTACAACATTTCAGCTGCTCTCCTGACTAAACTATTGGGACCACATTTTTCAGATTGCAGCTACTCTTCATGTTTTGAGAGTCAGAAATCAAAATGTGCAGAAATTTTTTTTCTTCGAAAAAAGTATATTTTTTGTATTATTTCTTATCTTAAAATATTGTCTGCACAAATTAATTAGCAAATTTGAGGTCACCTCCTTGAACCATTAAGAATTAGTCCTAGAAAGTAAAGATCCAATCATGAGATCTAAAGTTATTCAGAGTGGTCCTTTTTTTGCGTACTACACATGCTACATGACATATAAAATGTTATAACAGTTAACTAAACTTTTAAAACTATTAAACAATTGTTATTCAATTTTTGATATCATGATCAATCGATTAATTTTGATATCATGATATCAATCTTCGAGTTAATGATATTGAGGTTTGTCTATGTGCACGCTTTTAATTGTATTTCTAATCATTAATTTAGGCTAAAGCTGAACATATTACTATATCTGGTCATGATGGAGGAACTGGTGCAAGTAGTTGGACTGGTATAAAAGGAGCTGGATTACCATGGGAATTAGGAATCGCAGAAACCCATCAAACCCTTGTTTTAAATGATCTTCGTTCGCGAGTCATATTGCAAGCTGACGGGCAACTAAGGACAGGTAAATTTATATTTTATTTTTCAAATTTACTTCATTGTTTAATAATGTCCATTTATAAAATTTTTTTATTCAATTTAGTGATATATTTTTATTATAACAGAGTATAGCTTACAGTTAATAATTGGTATTTTATTTTATTTTTATTGTTACAAATTATATGTTATAATTAACATTTTGTTTTTACAACTAATGTTTTTTTTTAATACATGTTTGATTACTAATAATATTTTTATTATAGGTATTATTTTATTTATAATTATATATGTATAGAAATTCACAGATTTAATACTATATTTTTTATTTATAATTTTTTCTCCATTCGAGTAGGTTTTATGGTGAATTAGTTTTATATAAATTGTTTATTATTATTTTTTTTGGTATTTTGCTTAGTTTTTTTTGTTTTATAAACTTTTTTGAGGAAGTATTTTTAATGGGATCCTTTTTGTTTGTAGCTGAATTATTTACAATTTATCTTTCAAATTATTTGTTTTATGGTTTTACTATTCTTTCTTTTTGTGTGAGGATAAATATATTATATTTTTAAATAACAGCAATATTTTCTAACTATTTTTTAAAATATAAATACATAATATAGAAATGAAGTAATGTTTCTGTTTTAAATTGTACTTTACTGTAATCAAAATTACTTTGACTCTTTGTTGCTGAAATTTTCAGAAACTTTCCATTTTGAGATTATTATAATCCACTGTAAAAATCTGCTCTGTATTAAAAATAGGCAGATATATTATAGAAATATATATTAATTTGCATGCAATTATTCTTTAAGGATTTGATGTTATGGTTGCTGCTCTATTAGGAGCTGATGAATTTGGATTTTCGACTGCACCTTTAATAGCACTTGGTTGTACAATGATGAGAAAATGCCATTTAAATACATGTCCTGTAGGCATTGCTACTCAGGTACACAAATGAAAATTTTACTGCATTAAAATCTACTTTTCATTTTTGTTATTATACCGTGAATGAAATTTTTTTTTTTACTACTCTCATACAGATTTTTCATTCTAGTGCTCATTTGTATACTTGTGTATGTGAACAAAAAAAGTTTTACCATATGATGTTTGAATGGGCCTAATAAAACCATTAGTCAAAACTATTTCACTTTTTACTAAAATAATGTAGTTTGAATCTTTAAAAACTTTTCCTTTCATTGTTGAAAAGCATTTAGCAATCAATTGTTATGACTTTGTAATTTTCATGCATGTTATTACAAGAAAGATAAGTTTAATTTTATGCTTGTATATCCAAGAAAGATAATTTTCATGTATGTCAACCCAAGAGTGATTACTTTATGAAAGATGAAAGATAATGATCATCCAAGAAAGATGTTTTTATTTTCATTCATGTTAATCCAAGAAAAATAACTTTCATGCATGCTAACCGAAGAAAGATAATTTTAATGCATGTTAATCCAAGAAAGATGATTTGGCTTATTGAAGGTTCTCTTATGACACAGAAAAAGAATTCTATTTCCTTCATGTTAACTTTTGTAGAATTGTATAAACAGAATTTTTTTATTTGTCAAAGTAACTGAAAAATAAGGAAATAATGCTGAGGAGCAATGATTCAGATTTAAAGTTTAAAAGAATGATGAAAATAAGCTCTAATACTTAATATGCTTGAATATATATATTTACTCATCGAAATGCGTTCCATTGCATTTAGTTACCAAATTGGTTAATTTTGTAACTAATTAAGTTGAATATTTTAATTAGTTGCCAAATCTAATAATTTTTTAAACTATCGTAATTGTTTTGAATATTGAGGAAGAAAAATATCTTTTTTGTTGGAAGGAGACGCTTAAATTTTTAGGTAAAATATTACTAATAAAGTGTTTTTTCTAAGGAACTGCTTATGATCATCTAAAATATTCTAAATATAAAAGTATCTAGGCATTTACTAAGCATTATTTTCTTAGTAAACGCCTAAATACTTTTATACAATACATACTTTTTTCAATATATATATTTGCCNATATATATATATATTTTAACATCCATTCATACATATCTTGCTTCATTACTGCTTTCTTTATTTTAGGATCCAGTTTTACGAAAAAAGTTTGCTGGATTACCTGAACATGTAGTAAATTATTTCTTTTTCTTAGCGGAAGAAGTAAGTTAATAATATTAATAAATAGATCGTTGTAAATTAGAATTGCCACTAATATTATAAAACAAATAATGAAAATTTTTAGGTCAGAACATACATGTCCAAACTGCATATAAAACAATTTCAAGATTTAATTGGCCGAGCAGATCTGTTAAAGATTTATAAAAATAAAAGAAATAAAAAGGCTTCTCATCTTGACTTTCATTCCCTTTTAAAGTGTGCAAGATCCTTACGAACTAATACAGTACCAGTTGGTGGAAGCATTAAACATGACTTTGAGTTGCACAACAGATTAGTAAGATTCCTTTATTTTTATGGAACTTAAAGACATTTTTCAAGTTATAAACTATTGAAATTGATTTTACAAGAATGAAAAGGTCAAATTTTTATGTTTTTAAAATATTACTTATCTAGGATAATAAAGTTATTGAAAAATATTTTGAAACTTGGAAGGAATCCTCAAACACTGAAAAAAAGCATTTGTCCATGACTTTAGACATTACAAATCGAGATAGAACATTTGGTACTACACTAAGCTATCATATTGCTAAGTAAGTCTCATATATTAACTATATATTATAAAAAAATTTTATTGTATAAATCTGTACTTGTTTTTTTATTTGTTATTAATTTTTTTATAATAAATAAAAAACAAGTACATACTTGCAGTGTAGCTCCTCATTAAAAAATTCTATACTATGTCTGAGCCACATTCTATCATTCAATATAAATTTGTTTTTTGGTTGAAGAACTTCTTTACTATGAATGACATGTTTTTGTTTTTAGAGAATATGGAGACCAAGGTTTGCCAGATAATTCAATTCAACTTTATGTGAAAGGATCTGCAGGACAAAGCTTCTGTGCTTTTCTCATTAAAGGAGTTTCTGTCTATTTGGAAGGTGATGCTAATGATTGTGTAGCAAAAGTAAGAAAAAAAAATGCTTCTAATATAATGCCTCTATCATATGCTTAACACAGAGATGGGTGAACTTTTTTGGTCGAGAAAAAATAAGTTTGGTGGACTAATTAAAAACTTCTAAAATAAAAAAAATGATATTCAAGTTTGAAATTAAATATTTAATGAGATGAATGAAATTGTAATTTCATTTTTAAAAGTTCCTTTTATTGAGGTTCGAAGTGAGATGTACTTATTTCAAGGAACGAGGCTTAATGCTTGTCTGTTAGTCTACTTGTCTGTTCATCTACTACTAGTGGTGTTAAGCCTTAACACCACTAATAACTATGAAGATAAAATTCAATGTTAATAATTCTTTCTAAGTCTAATAAGTATTTACTTAGTCTTTATGTTACAGATTACAGATTATTAGTTTTATAAGGTTACAGATTGTTTCATCTAAATGTAAAAGTTCTTAGTTGAACTGTTCCAATATTTTTTATCATATTAACACAAATTTAGTTCCTGACTAATTTAGGGTACAATTTATACCTTTAAGTTTGAGACTTTAATTTTGAATCATAATCATTATAAAGAAATAGTAAGATAAGTAGAAAATAGCAAAAAGGCTATTAAATAAATATTCACTGTACTTTTGTATTCAGAATTCGCGATCGCAACGNGTCAATGACTTTGATGGAACTAAATGAAAACGTGATAAATTAATGTCCGATATTTACAGGCTCCCGCTAGACGGCGTACTCGAACGTTGCGATCGCGAATAAAGAAAATGTTTTACAAATAAACAATTCCTTTATAACTTTTGTTAATTTTATGCTGATGACAACCAAAGAAATCAGGATCTTCATGTGAGAAAATTTGATCATACCATATGATTTTTCTGTCCAGTTAGAATGCATGGACTGACTATCATTTTCATTCGATTTTCATGCATATAGAAAGTATTAGCATATTACATTAAAATAAGCTGTTATAATTTATTTAAAGGTTATACACAGTTTTCAATTTTGGCCTATAGGATATGTCATTACTGAGTTTTGGCATTTTTGTGTGTGTGTTTTTTATTTTATTTAGAAAAATCAATTTTTTCATACAATATAATCATTTTTAATGTATTTATTAATTCATCCAGCCATGTTATTTTGAATATTGTTTTAATTGATTCAATATGATTTTGAAAAAAATTGTTACAAACTATTTACACTTATTATTTTTTTTTTACAAAGGATTTGACAAACATTTACTTTATCACTGCTTTCACAAATTTAGAGTTCCCTTTGATTTTAAAAATGTCTTCACAAATATGTTTATTGGAGATATGCAGAAATATATATTTTATAATTGCCCTTCAAATTCATTATTATGTAAGCGCTCATACTTATGTTGTATACAGGACTTTTCACAACTAAATTTTGAAATATTTATATTTTTTTTCTACCGAACTTAAATATTAAAAATTTTTTTAGGTGCATTTTGGACTTTTCAGCAGCTACACGCACATATTTGCTATGTATACTCGCATATATATTTATTCAAATATGCCGAATTGAATACGTTAAATTTTGAAAATGTATTTTTATGTGTGCCTTTGTATACCAAAAAGTATTAAATGTTTCATGTTTAGTTATCTATATTCTCATAGGGCCTTACTGGTGGTGAAGTCATATTATATCCCCCAAAAGATATGGCTCCTACTTTCAAATCCGAGTTGAATGTCATTGCAGGGAATGCTTGTCTTTATGGTGCCACATCAGGAAAAGCTTTCATTAGGGGAATTGTAGCTGAAAGATTTGCTGTTAGAAACTCTGGAGCATTTGCAATCAATGAAGTATGTGTACCTTTAAGAAAAATCTTATTACGGATAACTTAAATTTTAATGAATTTTTAAAATTTTTTTTTGCATCTTTCTTCTCTTTTTTTATATGAGAACTTTAACACAACTTGCTGCATTGTCTATGGCTTATTACCTATCATTTGCACTTTCATGCTTCATAGTTTACAGAAGTATAATAACTTATTGTTTCTATTGTATTGGGAAATGCAGGGGACAGAGCATTTGCCATCCAATGGGGTGAACTGGGTTCGAATCCCTGCCATAGCTGGTCAATATGAATTCTGCATCCGGCTTGCACCGACCACAGTGCTGATGTGAAATATCCTCAGTGGTAGACGGATCATGGGTTAGATTCCCCTTGCCGTCAGGCTAACAGTGGGAGGCTCTCGTGGTCTTCCTCTCTACGTAACGCAAATGCGGGTTAGTTCTATAAAAAATCCTCCATGAAGGCAAATTTCTTACGATACTTGATTGAGGAGTTCCTTTGTCTTCTGGATTGGGTTCAAGATTACGGAGTTGAACATTAGTAGCCATAAACCAAAAAATTGGGCTGGCTGTTCAATGACGGTTAAAAAGTAAAATAAAAAATAGATAGAAAATAGATAGAATGAAATATTTTAATAAATAATAATTATAAACTATATTATATTTTGAAGATTTAATTCCAACTTTTTTCCTGTTAAATTCTTGAATTGGAACCTAACAAGCTTGTATATATGTATATGAATTTGAATACTATGAAATTTGTACTGTTATATTTGTTATTTGTATAAAATTCTCCTGGAGAATGTATGTAGAAAAATTACCTTTTCATGTATTTGTTTGTATTTTCTTCTGAATACAAATAGTTTGGAATGAATACAATTTTTTAAATTGAAGACAATACTTTTCTATGTTATTTCTTTCAACAAAATATTTCTGTAATTTATATTCAGATCTTTCACAGGGTGTTGGTGACCATGGTTGTGAATATATGACAGGTGGAAAAGTTGTTGTATTAGGGTTAACAGGTAGAAACTTTGCTGCTGGTATGTCTGGTGGGATTGCTTATGTTTATAACAAGTAAGTTAAAAAAAAGTTCGTGTACACTGTTTATTTAAATGGAAATATGTTTAACAATCTTCTTTACAAAAGTGTTTTATATTCCAAACATTTTAGATTTCCTGTTCATCGTTTCTTTACCCCTTTTCAATTGAGTATTGTTGTATTGGCATTTTTTTATTCAATTTGTATACATGTTATTTTCATAATTTCTTCATAAAGATAATTGCTGACATTTTTCTTCATTCACTGAAACAAATCTTGTGTCTTATCACATTATGGCAGAGGTTATATGAAAATGTTAATGTAACAGGGCAGGTAGCATTTTTAAGAAGCGCTTAAAGGTGGTTATTTTTGATTTACATTGTTTAAAAGCCCTTAAAGGTGCTTTTGTAAAAATTGCTTAATTTTCTATCTTTCAAAAAGAGATTTTTTTCTTTGCCGTGTCGATTGTCATTCTAAATTACAAAAGAAACTTGATTTAAACAATTTTCTCTGCAATATTTATCAGACACTACTTATTTTATCATAATTTTGTAAAGTTTTTGAAAATGTTTTTTAATTGATTGATTTTATGTTTATAAATTAAGAACTTTAAATGATAGAATTTTTTATTATTATTACCACAGAAATCCTAATTATGAATTTTTTTTTAAGAAATTGACTAAAAATATTTTTTGAATGCTTGAAAAGTACTTAAAAGGTGCTTATTTTTTGTTTAAAAATCAGGCTACGCACCTTGTGTAATGATTTGTATTTTTATTTTGAGATTGCATATTTTTAAGAAAAATTAATTTTTCCCCTTTACAATTTCCTTGAGAAAACACTTACAGCTTCAATTGCATGAATGAAATAATAATAATAATAAAAGAAACTATAATTTAGACTGAAAATGACATAGCAAGTTTAACAATCATGCTTTGGCCAAATTTTGATTGTAATTATTGCAAAATGATTTTTAATAAAATATATTTAAAAAAACCACCAGGATAAACTTTTAATTTCGTGACATAGCAAAGTTAATTGTTAACTAAGATTAAGGTCAAAATGTAAATATTTGCTTCAACTTTGTTTCGAAAGTAAACTATGACAGTTTTAAAGTGTGTTTATCCCTTTCACGCACACCAATTTCTAGCTCATTACATGACAGAATCAGTTGAACCTGTTTCCCACCTCCGAAGAACTATAATAGGATTATAGAATATTATCTTTTCTATTTATATTAATGTAAAATAGATGCTTATCTTTTTCGTCTTCTGGAATCTTTGTTGTTTCAAGTTGAAGATTTAAAAGTAAGTTGGGGTGGAAGATGGTAATTTATATACCTCATCTGCTAGTTTATCTAGTAGCAGATGCCATCTTCCTTTAAACAAACTTGTCTTTTCTAAATACAGGAAAGACTGTATAGTCTGTCTAAACTAAGAACTCCTCCAGCCAGAAAGTTTAAGGCCGTCTGATACTATGGAACCAAGAATGGTGCATTTTAGAGAGTGTAGCTACACTCTAGGACTAACACTATAGACTGAAGAAAAAGATTCCCTTTCTCCCTCCAACCCGAGCCGAAAGTACTCCAAAACAGTGACCCCACACCCCTACTTGAAATAGTCATACCTCGTTACTGTAGTCACCCCCACAGGTCCAGAGGAATGTCTGGAGGAGTTCTTAATTTAGACGAACTATAGATAAATTTCCACAGAAATAACATGATTTTTTTTCTCTCCAAGAAGTTCAATTTTCATATATGAAGAATGTTCAGCCACTAATTTAATTTTAATTTCCCTTAAAATTTTGTAAAAACATTTTGTTATCTCTTTTGGAAGTGATTACTTACATACTATTTACTTACTTCACACTGTTTGGCGCATAAGGCATCCTATTTCTTCATGTCTACCAGTCTTTGGCTTGAGATATGGTTTCCTCTAATCCTTTAAATTTTTCTCTTTTAAAATCCACTTTCATTTGACGCTGCCAAGTCATTCTTTGTCTTCCTCTTTTTCTCTTACTATCAGGGGGCTAATTTTTCTCTTGGTATTTTTAGTATGAGTCCAGTTCATTTTCATCTTCTCTCATTGATTTCATTCTTCTTTTGTAGTTAGGTTATGAAAGTGATTAATTTCTTAAATAGAATGAAAAATTCACCTAAATATATTAAACTTGCCGGCAAAGTCATACTGGCGAAGTTATAACCTTTAGTAACTACCATGATTTTTATTATCTTAAACATTGCTACAAAAGAAAAATAAATTATTTTAGCATTATTTGGTAATTTTATGTGAGGAAATTTTATTCCATTTTATACACAATAATATTTTCTTTGTTTTGTCTTGCAATTTGCATTTTAGTAGTTTTTTGTTTTTAATTTAGGACTGGTAATTTTGAATCGCAATGTAATAAGGATATTGTAGATTTACTTCCTGTAAGAGATGTAGAAGATATAGAATTCCTAAAAGATTTCATTTTAGAGTTTCATACAAAGACTGGTTCAGAAGTTGCAAAGTTCATCCTGGATTCTTGGGAAGTTTCTGTGAAGCGTTTTGTTAAGGTGAATTTACTCAAAATTCATGTGTTTTCTTTTTTAAATATGAGTTGTTTTCTTCTCAATGTTTTTTATTGATGTAAGAATAATTGTTTTTCAGTTGAAAAGCATAAAGAAATGTATTACTTTGAAAAAAAAAAAAAAAACTATTTTCTACAAAAACTGAGCTTGCATTTTACAGTTTTTCCTATTAATTGTGAAAAGTCTTTTTCTCAATATTTTATATTGAGTTAAGAACAACTATTTTTACATTGAAATGGAATACTACCATATCTTTTATAAAACTAATTTAAGGTACAACTGTTATAATCCGTTGTAATTTACCAATCAGTTAACTGTTTAATAATATAGAGTGATTACAGACCATTTTTTAAAAGTTAACATGCTAACTTATAAAGCATGTTTATAAATAGATTTATAAACATGTTATCTTACATAAAACTTATTTAAGCTACAACTGCTACAATCAGATGGTTATAGTTTACCAATCAATTAACTTTTTAATAACAGAGAGTGATTACAGACCATTTTTTAAAGTTAACATGCTAACTTATAAAACATGTTTATAAATAGATCTATAAACATGTTATCCTACATAAAACTTATTTCAACTACAACTGCTGTAATCAGATGGTTATAGTTTACCAATCAATTAACTTTTTAATAATAGAGAGTGATTACAAACCATATTTCTAAAGTTAACATGCTAACTTATAAAACATGTTTATAAATGGATCTATAAACATGTTAACAATTCATAGCTCTAAAATGTTATCTTGAAGTAATCTCATAAATCTTTTAAGTAACATCTTGAAGATTTTGGTTTTTAAGTGCCTTGAGGGAATATTTGTATTTAGAAAATTTGTAATTGTACTGACTTTGTAAATTATTAACTGACTAATTTGAATTCATAATAATTTATGGTGGTGATAGTGACTGTTATTAGATAGCGATAGATGTTTGTAAAAATATTTTTACAAAAATATCAATTGTAGGTTTTTCCTAAAGACTATCAGAGAGCTCTGAAAGAGAAACGTGCTAGGCTTGCTCAACCACCGAGTATCACCAAAGAAGCAGAGGCTATTCCAGTCACAAATGGTACACAGACTGATGACATTGAAGATATCTTGAAAATAAGTGGTCCAATTGATAAAACTAAGTAAGATATTTTGTGTATTTCTTCAATATTTCCTGGAAAAGTTTTAAGTACTTTCTTCTAATTTTAATTGTTCAATTTATTTTTACTTTATTTATGTTTTTTTAAAAACTGTTTACTAAGTTTGAAAAACAAAACAAAAAACATAACAGTATTAGATATTGTTTTGTCTTGAAGAAGTGCTATTTTTAAATTATCACATTTTGCTTTACAAGTTTTTAGCATGTTGACAAATCAAGAAATGCTTATACATTTGCCAGAAAATAATAAATCGATCTTTCATTTATTTTCTTCTGATTATTTGTTTAAAGAATATTCTAAAATTAAAGTTTTTTTAAAAGTAAATTTTTTTACTTTTAAAAAATTTATTTTTAAAAAAGTAATCAAGAAAAATTTTTTTGCTTTAAAAACTTTTTTTAAAAAAAATTTGATTTTAACAGAAATTGTATGTGAATTTGGTATTATTCAGATATTTTTAAAATGTATTGGTTTCTGTATTTGCTAAAAATAGTTTTATTATGAAATACTGTATAACTTTAGGTAAATGGATTGTGATTTCACTACCAAATTGTGACCCCTTTTTATTAATATTATTGTTATTTGTTGCAGCTTGATTTGGTAGTAAGTTTTCATTCTATTCTTATATTGTGCCTCTAACTTAATATTGCATTACTTACTTACTCAGGGTATTCACGCTGTTTGGTGCATTAGGCATTCCGCCTACTTCTTTGTTCCCCGGTTTTGGGATCGAATTTCTTTTAATCCTTTAAATTTCACTTTTTAAAGTGCACTATGACATTAAATTGCTTTTGCTTAAATTCTTTTACTATATGGTATTAAAATAATGCTTTAGTTTATGAAAATAAACTTTGAAAGAGATTTTTGTGAAATTTAGTATCTTGTTTACTTAAGTATAAGATTTTTGCACGATTGTTGAACTATTTTACAGCGTTGCAACAATATTGTATTTTACTTAATAAAACATTTTTTTAATCAAAAAATTTTTTTAAACTACATTAGTCTTTTTAAGATTAGTATAGAATGTAGAATATTGAAATTGATATTGAAAATAATGTGTTGTTGCAATGAAAAATATTTTTTTCAGGGGCTTCATAAAGTATAGGCGTGTGAAATCTAATTACAGACCTGCTGAAGAGAGAATGCTTGATTACAACGAGATTTATGACCATAAAAATGTTAGAAAGACCCTGAAAGTACAGGCAGCAAGGTATAGTTTTTTAAAAAATCTTTTAATGATTTCTTTTACTGTTTTATATTCGTTTAAAATGAACCATAATACACTCACCAAATCTTGTTCAAGAAATCAAATCCTCCATCTACTCTGCTAGTGTAAGCAATTTGTGTTATTTAATTAATGTTTAAATTATTTGTAATTTTGCGTTAAAGTTGTTGGCTTGGAGAGGGCCCCTTCTCCCTTCAGTCACTGGTTGGTTTGGCTGGTTGGCGTGTGGATGTTGTCATGTTATAAGTCATAAAATTTGCTAGCCATCTGTGAGATGTAACACTGCAACCTTATGAGACTGGGCCTGTAGTTTTCCACTCTTCAAGCAGGACTTTTATGCTCTAACACTTTTGGTTCCTTTCTGCAGAGTTTGTAGTTGTCCTGATAATCCTGATTAAATTTTTCCTTATTTGTCCTGAGTTTTAGCTTTTTGTCCTGATATTTTTGAATTTTGCGTGCGTTAAGAACATCCATTTTCTACGAATACAAATTATTTTTTAAATAGGTTTGATGAAATGAAAAATTTGGGCTTTCAATCTAACATCTTTTTTACTTTAATTAATGTAGTTGAAATTGCAAAATTTGATAGTTCCAATCTAGTGACCATCTAAATATGCATGGTTAGGGCATATAGTTTTACTTGCAGGATTCACTATTTAAACCTTTTGGGGGGGGGGAGATTCAGTCATTCTATAAAGAAGGAACTCAATTAACAATTTTTTACAATCCAATTTTTATGGTGATGAATTCAGAGGTCTTGCACCTATTTGTTATTTTTTTTTAGTAAATGCTGTAACAAATATTGTAGGGTGGATTATTGTACTTTATGAAAAAGGAACTCAATTAACAATTTTATGTTATCCAATTTTTATGGTGATAAATTCAGAGATCACACACTTATTAATTTTTAGCAAATGCAGTAACAAATCTTGTAGGGTGGATTATTGTATTCTGTGGAAAAGGAACTCAATTAACAATTTCATACTATCCAATTTTTATACGATGAATTCAGGGATCACATTATTTATTTTTGACAACATTTTTGACATTTTGCATTTTTGAAATCTAAGTGTTTGTTTAGTTCCCAAACTGAAATTGGGAGTATGGGAAGAGATTTATTATTGGCGAGTTATTGAGAAATAATGCTGCCAAAAATAATGTCAACCCTGTGTTATTATCATTAAATTTTAAAAAATCTGATTTGCAATCACCAAAGAGTTGATTAGAATTTAATAACTGAAACATTTGTGGTTAATTAAATAAATTAGTAAAGAAAAGTAAGAGTAGATATACATTTTGATATTCGTTTTGTTGCGACATTGAATTGTAATTAGTTATGAAGTTAGTTATTGAAATTAAATTAGCCGTTACATTGTTAAAAGAAAAGAATCAAAGTATTTATATTCGCTTTTTACGAAAAGGAATAATAATTAAATAGTTAATTTAACTTAATTGGAACAGGATTAGAAAAGGTTACAAAATAATTATAAATTTATGAAATAAAAAAATTGAAAAGCTAGGAATTATGTAACGCCTATAATGGCATCATACTTATTTAATAGTATCTTAAAATGATGAGAACTAAGCATTATAAAAACTGAGAACTAAGCGTTACCCTATTGAGTTAAGCATTACATCTAAATAGTATATTGTTTTTAATAATATAGATCAAGTGTTGATAAATTACTATTCTAATATAATGCATGAAAATATGTGGTTTTAATTTAAGAGATTATCTATTTAATTTTTATTATGTTTTATTGAAATTGTTTAGGTGTATGGATTGTGGTGTGCCATTTTGTCAGTCTAAGAGTGGGTGCCCATTAGGAAATATTATTCCTAAGTGGAACGACTTGGTTTATCAGGTAAATTATTGTTATATTTTTTGAAGAATGAGTTAATCTTTTTATTATACTTCAAATTAATTCAATGATTCTGCTAGATTTTGGAAATTGGGTATTTTTAGGATTCTGGACTTTCAAATTTCCGGGTCCTATATTATTGACATATTTTTTACTTCTCTAAATGTAAGTGTTTATATTATTCTCAACAATGAATTTCACTTTTTGACTTGCATGATGTATCAAAACTTTACTTGTAGCCTAAAAAATGTCGCTAGTAAAATCTCTGTTGTTTTATTTCTCCAATGTTGGCTGGTATGTAGTCTCCAAGATTTAAAAAAAAATTACCTGTGATATTGAGGATATGATAAATTCAAGTTCTCTATCTCTTTATCCATCTACTAGTGTGCTCATTTATAAGAATTCCATCTATTGATACACAAAAATAAAAATTTTAAAGCAAGAAAGAGTTATATTTCAAATTAAGGTTTTTAATTACAACTGTCAAGCATCAAGGAAACGCAGTAATTTTATTGAGTACTCAAAATTATTTTTATTTTCCCTTTCCATTAATACTGAAAAAAAGTTAAAAAACTGCCTGCATAAATCTGCAGGCTCATTATTTTTCTTACTAGATATTGACATGTCCTAGAGGACGTGTTATAACTTTTTTTTGTCTTCTTTATCCGATTTTTGGTGCATTTGTTGTGCTATAAAGCATAAGCTAAAGTATTATTTACTTTATATTTTTAATTCATTCTATTATTTTTCTTTCAATACTTTCAAAATAATAATGACATTATTTTTTTATTATAAAACACTGTCTTATGTATTGCATTTCGAAACTTAATAAAAACAATTTTTCTAATGAAAAATTGCATGAAAACAGCTACTTAAAATTGATACATTATTTCAAATAGTTATTATGTATAATTTTAGAAGTCATATTTATGTGTTTAATATTGTTGTATTTAAAATAAATATTACAGTTTCTACTAACATTAATTTAAATAATTTTAGCTCTGAAATAAGCATTCATGTAATTCTAAATATTATGCAGTATAACTGGAAAGAAGCTTTGGATCAGCTACTTCTAACAAATAATTTTAAGAAACTTAATAAAAAAAAATTTCTAATGCAAAATTTCATGAAAACAGCTACTTAAAATCGATGCATTATTTCAAAATAGTTATTATATATAATTTTAGAAGTCATATTTATGTGTTTAATATTGTTGTATTTAAGATAAATATTACAGTTTCTTATAACATTAATTTAAATAATTTTAGCTCTGAAATAAGATTCATGTAATTCTAAATATTATGCAGGATAACTGGAAAGAAGCTTTGGATCAGCTACTTCTAACAAATAATTTTCCTGAGTTTACTGGACGTGTCTGCCCAGCACCTTGTGAAGTAATAATTGTCATTGAAATTTTCGTTAATTTAGCTTAATGTGCTTAAAAAATTGATGGCAAGAATGATTTAACTTACATTTGTTTATGAAATGTATGTTTTCGTATTTTTTTCTGCATTATAAGGTTGTTTCTTTTATGTACATATGTTTTGTTCATGAATATTTTAATGTACAATAATTAAGAAAAAAAAACATAACACTCTGAATAATCTTTCACTTAATGATTAGATTTTCACATATTTGAACTAAAATTAATGGTTCCAGAGGGGACTTTATATATGCTTATTAATTAGTGCCGTTGATATTATAAGTAGCAGAATCAGACAAAAAAAACGTGTTTTCTTAGAATAAACATGCTACCTTTTTTTGATGGATTTGGATTTCTGACTCTCTAAGTATGGGGATAGCCACAATCGTGAATATATGGCCCCAGTAGTTAGGCCTGGAAAGCGACTGATATTTTGGACCCTATAATGTTGATTTTACTTTTTTTGTATTTCGCTAGATTTTGTAAACTTATTTAAGGAAATTGAAAACTTTTTGCACATAATTTTTAAATTCTTTTCTCCTTAAATAATTCTATGCAAAAAAAAGGACTTTTAATGAAGATTTATTATTTCTTATTATTTTATTTAAGAATAGTTGAAAACATTTTGAATAGTTAAGTATTAAAAATTTTATATCATTTTAAAGAATCTAATTTTCTGTGGCTAATTATAAAATTTGAACAAAATCAGTGGAATAGTTTTTAAGAAACCAAATTTTAAATACATAACCTTAATTTTAAAATTAGATTTCTCAGGAACTATTAAACTGTTTTTTTAATTTATTTTTATTTGTTTATTTTTTTTTTTAGTTTACACACTTTTATAATACTTTTACACTTTTTAAAATGCTGTAAAAATTCAAATTTACAGTTAAATCCATGTTTTTTCCGTATTATTCCTTAAAATCAAAGTTGGTAGATTAATGGGTCAAGCTGGAAGTGAAAACTTCTTACCAATTGTCTAGAGAGGTTCATATTTGTTATATCGAAATTCATTTTGTAGCTCAAGTTTATTCAGGCTTTTCTACATGTTTTCAGTCTGCATGCGTCCTGGCTCTCATTGAACCGGCTGTAACTATTAAGAATATTGAGTGTGCCATCATTGAAAAAGCATTTGAAAGTGGATGGATGGTGCCCAAACCTCCTCCTTCAAGATCTGGTTTTAGTGTCGTCATAGTAGGAAGTGGACCTGCTGGCTTAGCTGCAGCTTCCCAATTGAATAAAGTATATGTTTAACATTTGATAAACACATTACTATTAGTATGTTTTGAATAATGTATTACTGATATAGTTAGTCAATTATTGAATAATTTAATTGAAATATATCTTAATATAAATTTAGAAATAAAAATATATTAAAATATATGCAAGGCTTGCCTACCTGCTTACCTATCCTTTCACGCCAGCTGGCACATAAGGCCTCAAGTCTAGGCACCCCTTTCCTGAGCCAATCCTTTTACCTTCTTCTGTCTGCTTAGTTTCCCTTTGCAAAGATCTTGGTGCATGTATCTTTGCCAAGAAAGTCTTGGCCCTTCTCTTTTCCGTTTTCCTTCGGGTGCCCAAGTAAGTGTGCGATGTTAGCAGAGCTATTCTGTTTTAAATGAAAAGTATATTTAATCTATGTCCATCTTCTCTTCAAAATTCCTTCATGAATGGGTAGTTCTGGTAATAGTTTTGCCTGAGCCATGATGGCACAGGGGATAGAGTATTCGCCTTCCAATGTGGCGAAGCGGGTTTGAATCCCAGTAAATACGAATTCTGCATCCGGTTTGCGCCGATCACGGTGCTGACGTGAAATATCCTCAATGGTAGACGGATCATGGGATAGAGTCCCCTGGCCCCCAGGCTAACTACAGGAGGTTCTCGTGGTCTTCCTCTCCATGTAACGCAAATGAGTGCTAGCTCCGTCAAGAAGTCCTCCACAAAGGCAAAATTTCTCCCAATACTTGATTTTCTATATTGGGTTAAAAATTACAAGGCTATGGAGTTGAACATTAGTAGTCGTAAACCCATAAAATTGGATCGGCTGTTTAGCGACGGTTAGAAAATAAAATAGTTTTGCCTCTGTTAATATGAATGGCTTGTGGCAGTTTAATGATAAGTCACAACTTCATTTTATCCAGAAGAGCATTTCTTGGTGAAAAGCAACAAGGTTTCCATTTAGGCTGTAAGATATTTCCATGTATTATGCTGTTAACTATTGAAAATTTCCAGAAACTTATAAAGTACTTATCTAGAAACAATACTTCTGAATAGCTTGACACAAAAGTGCCAGTTAACATAAGTATGACCTATCATATTACCTTACTCCTTCGTATGTACCAGGGATCAAAGTAACTGGTTTGAAAAAACTGCCACCTCAAATATAAAAATTATTGTGAATTGTGATATTTTTTGAAATATGTATGACACATTTAGGATAGTCTTACTGTAGAAGTTCTCCCACCAGTGTTAATTTTTCTTAGGGTAATATTGTTGTCAATGATAAATGTTAAAAAAGGACTTTCACGGAAAGTAAACGAGCTGAAATTTATTGCTCTTATCTTAAGCAAAAATTTAAAACAATTGTAATTTTTCTTTCATAAAATATTCTGGTGAACTCCTAAAATATTGCTTCTAAAATGAAGTCTTCACAGCAATTGTTAACATAAACTTCTGGATTTTATTTTCAGTCTTTGTGTATATTATTCTTTTATTGTCATGAGTGTGAATTCTTATAGATTCCTTTAATGGAAGAGCATGGGAATGTAAGATAGTGATTTTTGTTCTATGCAGTAATATTTACTTTTGAAGCAAAATACAAATACTTGTTTTGTTACTGGAATTGGCTTTTTATAAATTTAACAAAATTCATCTAATAAATATATCATAATATATGAGTGACAGTAAATACAAGCAAATAGATAAATTTTAATTTGCAATTCTAGATTGAAAGCTATCACTGATTGTTAAATGTAGAATAAATTTAAACGCACATGAACTTAATTTTTTCCAGTAAACTGAGATTTATTATTTTTTTAAAATCTTGTATTCATTGCATTTAAATTATATGCATATTAACAAATGCTGGTAAAATGAACTAAAATTACATTGATAGTTAATGTGAGTGATTTTTTGGGTTTTTTGTCTATACTAACAAATATTATATTTCTCATTATTGCAGGTTGGGCATACTGTGACAGTGTATGAAAAGAATAGGCAAGTTGGTGGTCTGTTACGATATGGCATACCTAGCATGAAGCTTAGCCGAGAGGTAAATTTTACTTTTGTATTAATATAATTTTACTGTTATACAGTGTTTGCTGTTTGATGTGATTGCATGGATACTTGTGGGTTTGATTCCAATAAATGGGTATTCACGTAACCAAATATCTAATTCATATAAAAAATTGGAACATATTTTTTCATGGCATTTTTGTATAAATGTACAAAATGATTCACTAAGGTAAATTTACATAAATTTATTTTTCAAATTGAATTCTTATTTAAATTAATTGAAACTTTAATTTTAATGTTAAATACATGTAGAGATACACAAATTGAACTTTCTTCTCATTGATCCCTTGATGTCATTGGAAGTTCTTTTTCTAACGGCAGGCACTGAACTTCTCGTTCTTCGTCTCTGAAGATGCTGAAAGTGTTGCTCATTTAAGGTCACCTTGTGAGCATCTATGAATCTAAGTGCATGGTGCTTATCGTTTTTAAAAAGTGCTTAAAGGTGTTTATTTTCGATTTTCGTTTTTTAAAAGCCCTTAAAGGAGCTTTTTTCATTGGGTTTTTTTAAAAAGTGCTTCATTTTCCCTTTTTGAAAATTAGATTTTTTTCTTTACCATGTCGATTTTCGCTGCGTATTATGCAAAAGCCTGGTTTTCACATTGTTCTATTCCACATTTTCACAATTCATTCAACCACAATTCCATTTTGGCGTTCCGTCGGTCCGTAACGTATGATAAGGCTAATCATGTTACATGTTTGATGAACTACTTGGAAGTGACTACTGAACTGGATTTAGTGAGATTCTTGCACTCTCATGTGCAACTCTGCTGTATTTTGCAAGATATTTTCAATTTCAGGCTACATTTCTGAAATCGAACCGAAAATTCTCTCTTATCTTTTTATGGGGGCTAATATAATCAAGAAAAGAGTTCTTTGTCAGAAATTAGTTTATTATGATCATGTACAGTCTTTGAAAATTATTTTGCATTTTGTTAATGTATTTAGTGCTTAAAATGTACTTTGAAGGTGCTTATTTTTTGTTGAGAGATTTGGCTGTGCACCCTGAAGGATTTGTCGTTTAATTTAATGTGAAAAAGAACTTGGTATTATATAGCACCTGAAAAGATGCAATTTTTTACAAAACAGATATAAAATATTGCAGATAAGTATTGCTGACACTCCTGTTCAAAAATTTCAAATTTTGATGAAGGAGCAAGTAGTTTTGATACCGATATTTAGCTGTTGCGACACTGATAACCAAAAATAATTTCTAGTGTTGTAAATGATTGTGTTCATAGAAATTTGATAATAGTGAGCAACTGATTGCACTAGTCAATGATTTTACGAAGCAAAGGGCACTGTAGCTATTTGAATTAATCCTTACTTAAATGTACTGTGGTTTGAGGCATTATGCATGTTATTGTTTCTTAACCGCTTGTATACAGACCAATACTAGACTGCAAATTAATGTTTGCATTAGAATTAATATAAATTTTATTTATTTTTAAATAAGTTGTGAGTTTGTGAATGATCAGAAACAAACTGGTAAAATGTTTGAAAGTGAATTGCATTTTTTGGAAATTCAACTTAAACCACCAGTTTGTTGTTTTGTATTCTAAAATCTGTGCAGAGGTGACGGATTTTAGGATTGTATGTTTTAAAGAATCTGATGTATACTAAAAACTTTTTTTTTTGTAAAAAGATTACAACAATTCACGGATTGATAACATCATATGCATTTAGCTACTGAGATTACTTGTTAATTCACATCTTTGTTAGTATTACAGAGCTTTTTGTCTTTGTCTTATTTGATGGTAGCATGGTTTTCGTTAGGTTACGAAGTTGTTAATTTCAATGACGTGGAAGATCATAAAATACAATTTGCATTTCGTTGAAATTAATGTAAAGTTGTTAATAGTTTATTTCTTTTATCTAATTTATGTTTGTGTCTCCATTTTGTAAATTACTAAAAGATATTCGAGCCACTTGTTGACTAAACTTATGTGCTAATTTCTCTGTACTGTGTTGTTCATGTGTATATTTCAGTTTAATTACAAACCATGCCTGCTAAACTTTTTTTTCCAACACAAATTTACTCTGTCTGCATATAAGCCTATTTCTGTCTAGCATCTTCGAGATTGCTAATAAAGAAATCTACAAACTCTCCTCGAGTGAGTGAGTGTTATCTATGCATTATTTTTCACATTAGTGCACTTTTCTTTTTAATTACTAGCCAGCACCTCTTCTGAATTAGTGGCATATCATACAATTTAAACCTCTTTTGTGGTATTGAATTGCTATATTTAAATTTTCGAATAAAAAGTAATTTGGTATGTAGTTGCTGAGGAGATCAAAGTTAAGATTTCTATAATCTCAAACATTTATTCCATTTAACAATGCAAATATTATATTCTCTTAAAGAAGGCATATCAAATATGATTATTTTGCATTAAATATTAAACTATTTAATTGTTTTGATTGCTAGGTAATTGATCGCCGAATTGATCTATTAAAGAGGGAAGGAATTAATTTTCAAACTAATCAAGATGTAGCAAAAAATTTAGATGGCCTTTTCAACTATGATGCAATTTTGTTAGCGGTTGGATCTACAAGACCGAGAGAGCTGCCAATATCTGGTTAGAATTTATTCTGGAATTTTCATTTTTTTTTAATTGCTTGTATTAATCTTGTTTATTATTTTGGTTGATGACAAACATTTGTAATTCTATATAAGTTACTTCATATTAAATATTTTCTGTGCTTAAAAGCATAAATTTTTTTAAAGATCATTTTATTCGTTTGTATAAATAATATTTCTAAGAAATAAAAACAAAAACCTTAAATAAGGGTAGACAGTACTGCCCAAATAATATTTTTTTCCAATAATTTAACCATTTAGCAAAAACAAGAATTCATTTTTTTTAATAATTGTTATGAACTTTTTTCTATTAAAGGAACATTATTTATTTTAGTATTTGGTGGAATCCATGTTTGCTCTCAATTCAACCCTGCATTGATTCAATTTATTTTTATTCTTATAATCCTTATTTTGTATATTTTTATAATTCAAAAAATTAGTGAGAAAGCAATGTGTTAGAAAAATTGTTTTTCTTGGCTTTTGTTTTTCATCATTAATGTAGCTGTGAAATTTTAATGATTTGTTTTAGGGTCGCAATATATAAAATTACTTTTTGCGCATTTGAAAAAAATTCAGAAACAAATGTGCCTTTTTTATGCCTAAGAGCAATTCTTAAATTTTTCAAGGTTTATTAAACTTGTATAATATAATTTTAGAAAAAATGAAATATCTGCTAAATTATGTATAATTAGTTGATATTATCTACGTAACATGTAAAAATTTTGAAATTTCCATACCGAAAATGTAAAAATTTTGAAATTTCCATACCGAAAATGTAAAAATTTAGAAATTTCTATCCCAAAAATCATTAACTATTTTTATGTACCATTCTCTATTTTTCAAAAGAGAAAGAAATAAAAAATGTTAATTATAAATTATGACGCAATGAAAGTTTCCCAAAAGACAATTATTTTCAAGTATTTATTCTATATTATTTTATTATAAGAAAGAAATAGAAAATGTTAATTGTAAATTGTGACAAAATAAAAGTTCCACCAAAAACTATAATTTTCAATATTCATTTCATATAATTTTATTCTGTATTATTTTATTCTACATTATTTTATTTTATATTATTTTATCATAAGAAAGAAACGGAAAATATTAATCATTATTTGTGACAGTATAAAAGTTCTACCAAAAACAAAAATTAAAATATTTAATATTAAACTCAAATTACTTTATATAATAGGTCGCAACTTGAAAGGCATATTTTTTGCCATGGATTACCTAGAAGAAGCGCAAAAGCATCAAGAAGATTGCCATGATGTTCTTGGTAAAGCTCATGGAAAAGATGTTATTGTTATAGGCGGTGGGGATACTGGTGTTGATTGCATCGCCACTGCTGTTAGGGAGGTATATATAGTTATCGTTTAGTGTTTCAGTCAAACTCCGCTATAGTGAACCATCTCCATTTCAAATCATTTCAAGCCATTTTCAAAAATTATTATTTAGTAATACATTAAAAATGAAGAATATCTTTTATTTTGATGGAGCTAAATATTTTTAAAAATAAAGGATTTTTATTATTATTAAATTTGATACTTTATTAAAGCAATTTAGGATTTTAATATAAATAACTCATGGAACAACTGGAAACAAATCATCAACATCTTCCATAAAAATTCCTTGATATCCTTAATTATGCATTTTACTTTTTTTTAGAAACTTGCAAAAATATTTGTTTCTTGGAGGAATGCACTATACCAGTTTTGTAAAATATTTATTATTTATCTATTTAATATTTTTAGGGTGCTAAAAGCGTAACAACACTGGAACTGCTTTCACAACCCCCAGATTTCCGGCCTAAAGGTAATTTATGGCCCCATGTATCAAGAGCCATCAAAGTAGANTTTCTTTTTTTGTTTTTTTTTTTTTTTTTTGTCAATTTATTTAATTAATCTTGTTTATTATTTTGGTTGATAACAAACATTTGTAATTCTATAAATGAATTTTATATATAAATTATATATATAAATTATATATATAAATTCTTATTAACCATTTTCTGTGCTTAAAAGCATTAAAATTTTTTAAAATCATTTTATTAAATTTTTTCTGTCAAAATAGTATTTCTAAGAAATAAAACCAAAAACCTTAACCAAGGGTAGACAGTAATGGCCAAATCATAATTTTTTTCCAATTATTTATAATTTTTAAATAATTCATAATGTTTTCAATAATTTATAATTTTTACAATAACATATTATTTTATGAACTTTTTTATATAAAGGACCATTATTTACTTTAGTATTTGGTAGAAGTCCTTTGCTCTTGATTCGACCCTGCATTGGTTCAATTTATTTTTATTCTTATAATCCTTATTTTGTTTATTTTTACAATTCAAAAAATTAGTGAGAAAGCAATGTGCTAGGAAAATTGTTTTTCTTGGCTTTTGTTTTTCATTATTAGTGTAGTTATGAAATTTTTAATGATTTGTTTTAGGATCGAAATGTATAAAATTGTTTTTTAGACCTTTAAAAGAATTCAGAAACAAATCTGCCTTTTTTATGCCTGAGAACAATTCTTAAATTTTTCAAGTTTTATTCAACTTGTGTAATATAACTTTAGAAAATATTAAATATTTGCTAAATTATATAAAATAAGTTGATATTATCTACATATTATTATTATTATTATTATTGATATTATCTACATAAGTTGATATTATCTACAAAAATTTAGAAATTTCCATACCGAAAATTTAAAAATTTAGAGATTTCTATCCCCAAAATCATTATCTATTTTTATGTGCTATTCTCTATTTTTCAAAGAAGAAAGAAATGTAAATGTTATTCATAAATTATGACTCAGTAACAGTTCTTCAAAAAACAATTATTTTCAAATATTTATTCTATATTATTTTATCATTAGAAAGAAACAGAAAATGTTAATTATAAATTGAGACAAAGTAAAAGTTCCACCAAAAACTGCTATAATTTTCAATCATTCATTTTGTATAATTTATTCTATGTTACTTTGTTTGATATTAATTTATCACAAGTGGAAAATATTAATCATTAATTTTATCATAAGTGGAAATGGAAAATATTAATCATTAATTGTGACAGAATGAATAAAAGTTAAGCCAAAAAACAATAATTAAAAATATTTAATATTAAAATCAAATTACTTTATATAATAGGTCGCAATTTGAAAGGCATATTTTTTGCCATGGATTACTTAGAAGAAGCACAAAAGCATCAAGAAGATCGCCATGATGTTCTTGGTAAAGCTCATGGAAAAGATGTTATTGTTATTGGCGGTGGGGATACTGGTGTTGATTGTATTGCCACTGCTGTTAGGGAGGTATATATGGTTATTGTTAAGTATTACAGTCAAACTCCGCTATAGTGAACCATCTCATAACTCTGGGGGTACTGATCTAGGAGTTTCCTTGCCTTCTGGATTGGTTCAAAATTATGAGGCTATGGAATGGAACATTAGTAGTCGTAAACCCAAAATTGGGTCGACTGTTCAACGACGGTTATAAAATGTAATAAAATAGTGAACCGTGATAGCTCGGGAGATAGAGGGCTCGCCATTCAATAAGGTGAACCTGGTTTGAATCCCAGTGATGACTGGTTGATACGACTTTTGACTTGCAATGACCGCATCGCTGACGTGAAATATTCTCAGTGGTAGATGTATCATGGGTTAGAGTCCCTTTACCCTCAGGCTAACAGTGGGAAATTCTTGTGGTCTTCCTCTCCATGTAATGCCAATTCTTGCTCTGATTGGCTTTGTAATTTACGGAAAGTCTATTGACATTTTGAAAGCGCCTTTGTTTTTCAGATTTACTTACGACAGTTTTTGCTTCTCTGAGCTAGTCATGTTTGCGCATCAAAAAACTGTTATTCTCACTTTGGAGAGATCTCCATTAGTACAATTGTCTCCTTTAAAAAATAAATTTGTAAAACAGTCCAGCTTTGTCAGTATTAAAAAATTTCTTTCTCTTCATAATCCTGTATAGTATCCTGCCACATTTCAGTTTTCCACTTTTTCACATTCGTTGTACAAGCACTTGCTTCTTCCCAAACAATCTTTCCAGAAAAAATTGTAATCCGTTTTAAATCTTTCCATTTATTCATTAGAGCATGCAAAATCTTTTTCCTTGAATTTTTTAGCAAACTTATTCACTTTAATTTGAAGCATAGGTCCGTTCACAAGAAGATTTCTATCTTGCTGAATGGTGAACCATTTCAACATAACCACTATTAAACATTTTCTCTTTCAGCTTGACATAATTTTTCTGAAGAAGCCATATTTTTTCCTGTGAGGCAATAATCGCACCTCTTCAGTACGTTTGGTAATTTTATTTTTGTCCTCTGTCGAAAATCCTTTCCTTTTTTCAGAATTTGCCATATTCACAGCTTTGGAAAAAAAGTTTTCTTGTCCAGAAGTGTTTGTGCTCTAGGAAAAATTCGGATTTCCGGATTTTTGCTAACTGCGATCCGGAAGTTTCCGGAAATCCAAGGTCCAGAAGTTCAGGAAATCATCGATCACATTTATATATAAAAATTCTTGTATATTTCATTTAAAAATATTATAACTAGAATTTATACTTGGCATCTCATTCATTTGAAAATATTTTTTTTTGGTAGAATAATAAATGTGATAAGAGAGAAAAGTAAACATAATTATTAATTTAAATTATGCCGTATATTTGCATATATACCGCATCATTGACATTTTCATGTTTTGACTTGAAACCGAATTTATATTCCGAATTAATATCACCGAATCATTCTGAAACCGAATTAATATCAATGATTTAAATTTATAAAGACATAACATTTTTGAAATGCATCATTAATGATTATACTAAAAAAAAATTTCAGGATTTTTGAGTTGGACTCACAATCACTCTTGCTTGTCTCATATCAATAATGTAAGAATATGAAGCAGTAAAATGCGTAAATTTTTCTTTTTATTTGTTCAATTCTTCCTTCCTCTTGATGGTCAAGAGGTGATTTTTAAAGAATAGGACTTGTAGAGATGGAGGATCCCAATAATTTAGTGGGGGACCAGGTTAAGGAGTTGTAGAACAAGCTTGTTCCTATATCCAGAGAGGTAAGAGAAAAATGTTTTGTTTAACAACTTGTCCGCAGTAGTTAGAGATAAGCATAAAAGAGTGAACTATGGCAAAATGGAAAGAAATATTGTCGTTTGTAGTCCTAACACCTGCAAGTTTCAAGTTGAAGGACTGAAAATGAAATGTGCAGAAATGAAACTTGAGTCTATTATAACCAAACTACCGACATCTCAATTGTTCTCTTTAAACATTTGAAATAACATTATCTAATTGGGACCACTAAAAAAGTTCACTGCATCCCAGGTTCACTATAACGGGGTCGACTATATAAGCTCTGTTATTAAAAATGCTTATTATAATTTTTAATTTCTGAAAATATCTTTTAATCAATATCTGGTATTCAGCTAGGTATAATTTGTATAATGGATACTTATATATAATTTGTATTTGTATTGGTATAATTTATATTTGTATATTTGTACATTGGGAGATTAATTATTGATTGGGTGTTTTAACAGCACAATAGCTGGATATGTCTGTACTGCATCAAACGAACGAACAAATTACAAGTTAATATTTAAAAATGTACTGGTACAAATCACTTTCAAATTAGAAAGTAAAAACAGAAGTTCCATTTTATTTCATCTTTGCTGTTATAATTTTTCATTTCTCTTTTATTTACAATTCACATTTGAATTAATGCATTTAGAAACTATTTTATTAGGTAACTTTTTTGTGTTAAATCTTATGAAATTATAGTTATTCTTATTTGTCGATTATTGATTAAAGTCAATTAAGTTTTATTAGTTAAAAGCGTTTATTTTTCTTTTGTGTTACATGGAATTTTAATTTTGTCAATAATGTTTTAGCAGAAATCATTCAATCTAAAATTAAGAATATGTTGTCATGCAAAAATATGCATAACATATTTCCTAATTTTTAAAGACTAAAATATTATCTCATTTAATCTTTAAATAAATCTTTTAATAAATAAATATCATTAATATAATCGGTAATATTTTTATACCACAACCTTGAATTGAATGAAGAGTAAAATCTATTTTTAGAGATACCCTCTGCACCTGTCTAACTTATTAGCATAGAAATCGAAAACCGTTTCATGGTTGCTAAGTGTTTTTATATTATTAAAATTTGTTATTATTTCTCACACTTTCTTTTCTGCTAACACATTGGGAAACTTAAAGCTAAAAAAAGAGTCTTGAAAATAAATTTAAAGTGCTCCATAGCTAGTAAATAGATTTCTTAACTTTCCTTGGCGAATAATATTATAACATGCATAAAAATTTTAACTTCTTGTGGGGGATGGTATGCTATGGGGTTTAGCCCTGCAGCCACATCCTCTGGGCACCATTTTTAAAATCTATTATTTAGTAATTCACATATACATTAAAAATGAAAAATGCCTTTTATTTCGATGGAGCTGCATATTTTTTAAAATGAAGGATTTTTATTATTTATTAAATTTAATTCTTTATTGAAGCAATTTATGATTTTTAATATAAATAACTCGTGAGTAGAATGATAAACAACTGGAAATAAATCATCAACATCTTCCATAAAAATTCTTTGATATCCTTAATTATGCATTTTACTTTTTTTAGAAACTTGCAAAAATATTTTTGTTTCTTGGAAGTATGTATACTATATCAGTTTTGTAAAATATTTATTATTTATCTATCTAATATTTTTAGGGTGCTAAAAGCGTAACAACACTGGAACTGCTTTCACAACCCCCAGATTTCCGGCCTAAAGGTAATTTATGGCCCCATGTATCAAGAGCCATCAAAGTAGAATATGGGCATGCTGATGTGAAAGCTAAATATGGAAAAGACCCTAGGCAATACAATTTGTTACCACTGGTAATTAAATTCAACCTAAACCTATTTTATTGCAAAATGTGATTCAAAAATTTCTGTTCAATAATTTAGAAACCCTTTATAAGATATAATACAGAGATATAATTTTTGTTCCTTTTTTTAAAAATAATACAGAGATTTAAATACAGGGGTTTTAAAATACAGAGGTTTGTGTTGTGTTTTTTTTTCAAGGCAGTAATTTTATTTTAAGACAACTTAATTATTTCATAATTTTTATAACAGTGATGAAAGTCACAATCAAATAATCTGAATCTCATGATTTCTTAAATTGCTCCATGTTTATTATGTAGAAACTTTATTTCGCTTTGATTCTGCTTTAAACAAACAATTTTATATCTTATATGTTCATTAGAGTAATTTGAGAGATATTATTTAAATGTTTTTGAAGCTCTAATTTTCTAAATGCTTTAATCATGAAGCAGATTAAATTTTTAAATAAACTAAAACAAACAAAAAATTGCTTTATAAATAAGCATCAATAGATTAACTTGCTATATGTTTCTATGATTGAGCCTCAAGAATATTCATGAGCTTGGCTATCAACGTAATGACAAAACGTTTGTCTGAATAATTAAAACATCCATTTTTTACACATAAAAATCATAGTGAATTTTTCTCAACAAAAAGAATATAGCTATGATAAATTTATTTCTGCTTTCCATTTTGTTTCACTCTTTCGTTAAGTTTTATATGATAGACTTAAGTTTTATATGATAGTCATTAGCAGAAATTAGTATTAAAAATTACAAGCATTATATTGTAATTTACGTAAATACATAAATAAGTTATCATTTAATGTATTTTTATTTTTGCAGCCAAATATTCAAAATCAATAAACTTGGATAACATTAAACAAGTTCAATATCAAGAAATAAATTAAATAAACAGATTATAGTTTTGATTGTATCTGTTCAACATAACTAACGAATTTGGCTTTATACATTTCACTTTAGGAATTCTTAAATGATGGATCTGGTAATGTTTGTGGTATTAGAGCACATCTTACAGACTGGAAAAAAGATAAATTTGGACGGTGGGAAGCTCACAAATTGTCAGATTCTGAGACTATCTTGAAAGTAAGTGCCTTTAATATGCTGAAATAATGTTAAGATTAATTAAATTGCTTCTTTTATAATCTTACTCACTTAATAAATAATTTTTGAAAAGTATTTATTGTATATGTTTGGTAACTTGCTTCAGATTTTTGACAACAAACCAATTTTAATTTTTAGAAAAATACTATAACAGCATCTTTGATTCAACTGTTGCTTTTGTATATCTTTGCAAATGTATCTTTTAATACATACATTGCAGGGCTCGAAAGTACTTGTGGTCTTTCGGTCAAGGACTACTAAATAGTGACTCAAATCATTAAAAAATAATTATCTGTAGTTACTAAAAAATAATTGTAAAAATATGGTATGATGTTTTTTTATTTTCAGTTTCATGTTTGGTTTGTTTTATTGTCATAAAATAGCATATTTCATCATAATTGTGAACAATACACATTTTCATTTAAATTTATTTATTAACTTTTTTTAATAGAAAAACTAAATGAACCAGCAAAAATGTGTACAGACAAGTATTATCTTTTACTGCTTTTAGTTACTTTTGCACAGACCAGTGACTAAATTTTGTTAATTTCTAACCCTGTATTGTAAATAAAATATTCTTTAAAACTCGCGTCTCATGTTCATTATTTTAAAATCTTCAGATTTTCAATATATGGTAATTTAAAGTGCTATTATTTTTCAGGCTGACTTGGTTTTATTAGCTCTTGGTTTTCTAGGACCAGAGACAGATTTGCTTCAATTGATGAACGTAGAATTAGATTTGAGGTCTAGCGTTAAAACGCCCCAGGGTCGTTACAACACTTCAATTCCTCGTGTCTATGCAGCTGGAGGTGAATTCTTTTTATTGATATTGAAAGTTAAAAATTATTTGATGCTAACATGATACAATTAACATTTAAAGCCAGTACCAGGCAGTGACTTAAACTTGTGACATGGTTACGTCTTAGTGTTAACAAGTGACCCCAGAGATATTATAATATTTCAATTCTCAGGAGTTAGCTGCTGGAGGCAAATTAATTTTATTGATATTAAAATTCAAAAATGTATTTAATGTTAACATAATACGAGGGTTGCTATTTATATTTCTGGCCTAATAATGAAAAAACAAATATGTAGGATCGAAATTGGTTTTATTGTTTTTCAATCACATGATCAATACACTTTTGCATGCGTTTGAACCAATTTTCAAAGCACTTTTTCCAGTCCGATTGAGGTAACTCCAAAACATGCGTTTTGAATGCATCAACCGCTTCTTCGGGGGTCGAAAATCGTTGTCCACGTAATTTATTTTTGATGTGTGGGAATAAGAAGAAGTCATTGGGTGCCAAATCAGGGCTGTACGGCGGATGACCCATCAGTTCGATCTTTCGCTCCGTCAGAAATGCCTTTGTTTGAGTCGATGTGTGAGAGCTCGCATTGTCATGATGAAGAATGATTCGCCTGTTCTTCTGCTTTTTTCGAATTTCTCCGATGACTTCTGGCAAACAAATGGTCGTGTACCATTCAGAATTGACCGTCCTGCGTTGCTCTAACGCCACTGTTGCCACATGACCGTTAATGCCGAAGAAACAGGCAATCATTTGTTTCGATGTGCTTCTTCCTCGAACAACTTTTGTTGGTTTTGCCTCGTCTTGGAAGACCCATACAGTTGATTGCTGTTTTGTTTCCGGCTCATATGCATAGATCCATGATTCGTCACCTGTGTAGATGTTATACACAGCCTTTGATGTACCTTGAACGTATTTTTCCAACATTTCCTTGCACCAATCGACACGAGCCTTTTTTTGAGCGTTTGTCAGATTATGCGGGATCCAACGCGAACAAATTTTTTTTACGCTCAAATGTTCATGCAATATTTTATTGATGCTAGTCATACTAATGTCCAAAGACGCCTCTATCTCACGGTATGTCACATGACGATCTTGCTTTATCAGTTCACGCACAGCATCGATCTTTTCTGGCACAACAACGGATTTTGGACGACCTGCACGGGATTCGTCCTGGATCGAGCATCGACCACGATTAAATTCGTTATACCAATTTTTTACAGTGCTGTAGATGGCGCTTTATCGCTGAATAAAGAATTAAGTTCATCCAAGCACTCTTGTCTTGACAATCCACGTCGAAAGTTATGAAAAATAATGGCACAAAAATGTTTACGAGTCAATTCCATTTTTTGAAAGAGAAGAACTTTTCAATTTACTGTCAACAACACAAATGAAGCTATAATGGTAAATCGTCTGCTGAATTTATGTTTAAAAATATCAAACTTTCGATTAAAATCGTCTGCGGTTGCCTAGCAGCACTTACTGTTGCCAAGGCCAGAAATATAAATATCAACCCTCGTACTATTAACATGTAATCCCAGTACAAATCAGTGACATTAACTTGTGACAGGGTTTTATGTTAACCTGTCGCCCCAAGATTGTCACAATATTTCAATTCCTCGCGTATGTGTTGTTGAGCTAAACCCTTTATATTGATGTTGATTTTTATATACTTCTTAATGTTACAAAGGAACACTTCTTTCACATGTTTTACATGAAATATTTGGTCAAATAGTCAAATTTGTTTATCAGTTTTGTATAGATTACTAAATATTGCTCTAAAATAATGTTTTACATCAATAGTGTCTTCTAACATTGTAATTCAAAAAGTTTCAATTTATAATTATATATTACATTATAATTTGTTATTATAATTTGTTATTATAATTTAAAGGTTGTATTTCAAAAGTTTAAAATTGAACATTAAAAAATTATTTGGAAAATATGCTATTTTTTAAAACAAATTAGTGAAGTTATAATTACTTTTTATTCTTTACTTTAAATCTCTTTTTTAGCGTTTTATAATAATAAAATAAAATGCATAGCTCATTTTTTAAATTTCTATTTTTGTATTATAATCGTTTTCAAGTTATGTGAATGTAAGCTTATAACCTTTATTAGTTTAAGCAAAGATAATATGAATAATCATTTAATATATTTTTTTATGAGTAATGTATCACTGTGGCTATCACTACTACTATTCTTTGTATATATAGTGATTAAATAATGAAAAGAACAAGGAAAGAAAATCATTGAATCAACCTGTCAATGAATTGAGAAATTATAAGCAATTCAGCGTATTCATGAATCACTTAATAAATAAAAGTTTATGCTTTATTAATATTACAATTTGGGGTGAAATAGTCAAAAAATTTTTTTTGCTTATACTTACTATACTTTTTTTTGCTTTGACTTACATACAATAATTGGATTTGGTAAAATTCCTAAAATGTTTGCACAAAAATGTGAGCTACTATTATTTATTTGCTATTTTTCTGTAGTGAAGATTTATGATTTGAATTAAAAAACATAATTTAAGTTTTTAAAAACAAAAATTAAGTATTTTGTCTATGTTTTTGCAAGAACGTACTTTTACCACTATCATTAAATATTAGTTAAGAGACTTAAATATGTTAAATTGCATCATATTTCAACCGTTTCATGCATGAATTTTTCGTTTAAGTAATAGAAAATATTTAGATATGCTGCATACCCATTTAACATCACAAGATTGTGGTATAATAATTCATTTTTGGAAAGTGTTGCCCTGTTTAATCAAAAATTAATGTCCTCATGTACAAGTGAGGACCTGTGCTTTTGTGGTACATTTTATGAATATAATTTTAATCAAGGAGAAATTGAATATTCTAAATTCTTTTATAAGGTATAAGAAGTTATGAAATACCATCGTAACATACCTCTCAAAATAAATAAACAAAATATCAGATTTTCCTTCTTTTCTTAAATTCCCCATTGATTCCCCATTCATTTTAATTATCTTGAATGGCCTGCCACCTGGTATGGTTTCCAAGTCTCTAAATGAAGACTACATACAAATTGCAGCACAATAGCGAATCTGAAAAGCATGATGAAACAAAAATATATACTTCTTATGTGAGGTCCATATGTGTGAAAGGGTTAATAAATTGTGGTTGTTAGGTAATATTTTTAATTTATTTTTACCCATAATGCATGTAATATTGCTTTTGATAATACTAAAATCCATACATAAATTAAGAATTTTCGTAGAGTATAATGGGTTAAATTAGGTGTAGTTACTGTTGTTTATTTAGTGAATTAAAATAGCATTTAATACCTATTTTTTTTGTTACGATAGATTGCCGAATGGGACAGTCTTTGGTAGTTAATGCTATAGCAGAAGGAAGACAAGCTGCTCGTCAAATCGACGATGACTTAATGAATGGGTCTTGTCTAGCTGGGCCAGGAGGATTGATTTACCTTAAAAAACACTGCCAATGAGTTTAGAAATAGTATTATTTTATTAGAGTTTTATATTTATTTTAGATGAATTTTATGTTGGACAAATGGTCTCCGATACAAGTATTGGGATTCAGTTGTTTTATTCTGCATTTTATAATATTTTCAGAACTTTTCTGTTTGAAGTTGTTTTAATAAAGGAAAGACCTTTGGTTTCATTTTTAATTTTATGTATTTCATATAGTTTAGTTTAGTGTTGCGCAAGAATCTTATCTAGCTTTATTTATATTTAAAAAGTTATTATTTATTTATTTATACTAAAAACAATTATTTATTAAAAATCTAAGCAATTTTTTGTAGCAAAAAGACCATGATTTCTTTGTAGGGAATAAGATGTTTCTATGTGTTTTCCTTGTTTTTAATTCAAATTTGTGTAGTAATTATCTGGAAACAATAGTAAGGAAAAGTTTTTACATCAAATTGCCATCTTTGAATAAAGTGTGATTTATCACTTTATTGATTAAGACCTTCATGTGCTGTTGCTGTAAAAAAATTGCATTTATCAAACTGTAAATGTTGAATTTTAAAAATGTCGAAATGCGATTTTTCACGGACTTTTTGACCGATTTTGCTCAAATTTTGTATTTTACCGTGTTAAGTTACATTCTTTAAAATGATGCAAAAAATTGTGTACCTTAAAATTCAAAAAAGATTTTGGACCATTATTACATAAAATAAAAAAATAAAAATTTACTGAAAGTTATTTTTTACACAAATAAATGAATTATATTTGGATAAATGAATTTTATAATCATGTGTAAAAATTTTCAAATTCACTTAAAATTTTTTCAAGATCTAGCGAAATACACAAAAAGTAAAATTAACATATTAATGGATCAAAACTTTTCAGCGCTCTCCTGGCTAAACTATTCCATACAACTGACAAAAGGAGAGGGAAGGGTTAAGACATGGAACTGATCTTCTCCCCAGATGGCGTATTCGAGCGCTGTGATCGCGATTTTATAAAATAGATACTTTCAAATATAATATTAATGCTCAAATTTAAAAATAATGATCAAAATATATAACTTTTAAGAATAAAAGTTCTAAATTTCTAGTTTTGTTTATTAGTATCTAAAACACAACCGTTTTCTAAAAAGAAATAATACTGCAACTGTACAGCTACACAAATATTAAATATACACTCTTGACTCTCAGAAGTAAGGGATGGTCGCTATTTGTAAAATATAGCCCCTATACTTTAGTTAGAAAAAAAAAGACATTTTTATCCTCAAATCTAAAATTTCTCAGTGATAAAACAAAGAATTAAAAATTAATTTCAGTAAAATTATTTTAATTAATTTTTCGCTTGTTTTATCAAATTATATGTGGAAAAGATTAATTAATTAGTTCCTGGAAAAGTTTTTTAAAAAATTACTTTTTTTTCATAAAATTTTATATTTTTTAATCGAGAGTTATAACAGAAACTACGCAAATTAATGATTTTATTTTAATTCATAACTGGCCATGAACAGCCAAACCAATTCTGAGTTACGACTTTTAACATTGAACTCCGTAGCCTAGAAGTTTTGAAACCATAACAGAAGACGAGGAAACTCCTGGATCAAGCACAGGTACAAACAGCTTTGTAGAGGTCTTTTTAAATTAACTTGCCCGCATGTACGTTACGTGGAGAGAAAAACCACAAAAAGCTCCCATGTTTAGCCCGATGGCAAGAGAATTCTAACTTATGATCGGTATACCACTGAGGAAATTTTACATCAGTACTGTGGTCGGTGCGAGCCTCGAGCAGAATTCGTATCAACCAGCCACCGCTGGGATTAGAATTCTGGTCACCTTATAAGGAGGCAAACACTCTATTCCATGAGTCACCAATGCTGCAAATTAATGATTAATATATTTCAGCAATAGTGTTAAATTCAGTCATAGTTGTATTTCATATTCCGATGATAGCTGCATTTGACGACTAATTGGTCCGCCTTCACGTACCCATTGCCATATTTCGATTATTTCGCTTAATTGGAGTAATAGTGTTTAGTCATAGTTGTGTTATATATTCCGATGCATCAACGACTAATTGGTTTGCCTCCCTTTTCCCACTGCTATGCTTCGATTATTTCGGTTTATTGGAGTAATAGTGTTTAATCATAGTTGTGTTTTATATTCCGATGCTACTTGCATTCAACGGCCAATTGGTCCGCCTTCACGTATCCACTGCAATGCTTCGATTATTTCGTTTAATTGGAGTAAGAGTGTTTAGTCATAATTGTGTTTCATATTCCGATGCTAGCTGCATTCAACGACTAATTGGTTTGTCTTCCTTTTCCCACTACTATGCTTCGATTATTTCGGTTTAATGGTGTTCGGACTAATAGTGTTTAGTCATAGTTGTGTATTATATATTCCGATACTAGCCTTCACGTGCCCACTGCTATGCTTCGATTATTTTGGTTTATTGGAGTAAAAGTGTTTAGTCATAGTTGTGTTTCATATTTCGATGCTAGCTGCATTCGACGGTTGATTGGACGCCTTCGCGTGACCATTGCTACGCTTCGATTCTGCTATATCTGTCAGCATTGCTTTGAGTTCCTGCTTCTTCTCACAAATTAGCTGCTTTGCGGCACTCCATTAATCTATCTCAAATCATACATTGAGGTCAAAAAATACTATCATTGAAAAAAAAAATACTTGTCATACATCATTAATTCTGCCGTTGAGTATATGAGGATAACTTTACTCCGATAATGGTTCGCTAATAAATATAATAAGTTTTTGCCTCTCGAAGATGGAGATTATATATATATATATATATATATATATATATATATGCAAAAANTATTTTACGCATTTGAATTCTTGTTCCTCAAAATACGGATATTTGAGTAGTACCATAATTGCATGCAGATAGATAAAAACAAAACTTACGATTGCTGCAAATCACACTCAATCATGCAAGTTTCTGCAAGTCTGGAATAGGTTTTAGCACATCTTGCTCAATGTTATATATATATATATATATAATAAAAAGTTGAAAAACAAACTAAGGAAAAGATATAATCTCGTCATCAGCTCAACCGATTATAACACCAAAATAGAGTGCTTTCTAATATTGTATTAATATAGCCAAAGCAAAGTATATATTAATTCAATAGGGGTAAGTAATTAAATTAATTCTTAATATGGCAATTTAATTATTTATAAACTTTTGTTTAAAGCTAAAAAAAAAGATAAATTCTTTAAAAGTTAAATTCATTTGAAATATTTTACTTTTATTTATATTAGTATATGGATTTTTTTTTATGCAATAGAATATTCCACTAGAGCCAGAGGGGTAGCTCTTTTAACAAGAAGCCTTAGAAAGTTTCTAAGCGTTACAACTCATTGAAGTTAAATTCGATTACGCTTAGAAATCAAATAACTTATGACCACCGAACTGTGTGGGTTGCCATGGAGAAGTACTCAAAGCAGTTCAATAACGATTGAATCCGATGAAATTCAAAAACCGAATAAATTCATTCGAGCGAATTATTGTAGGGACGAAAGAAAAATTCGCTCCATAACTTTTAACAGTAAGCAGTTTAAAAGAAGGGGAAAAAACGAAGTCATTATTAGCTTAAAAACTGTTGTGTTCGACTATGTAGAGAGATTGTTATATTTACAAAATATTTTTCTAAAAAATTTATTGTTTAATACCTTTTTTTTACCTATTAATATGCCTTAGCATTTTTATTGGGTGTCTAGTATTGGAATAAAAATATATGTTTATAAATTATACTAGGAAATAGTTTTTTATTTTTATTTTCTATTGCATGAGATTTTTTAGCAGGTCTTGGATACTTGTGTAACTGTGGCTTCAAACCTGCAATCGGTTTATCTTTCCAAACTACAGTTTTTTTTAAATGACATTTTTAGTCTATTTTTTGACGAAATGTATAAGTTTAAAAACGTTATACATAACAGTGGATCGCATAAATGTTTCGACAAGCTTCAAGAGTTAAGGCACATCATCAGGATTTTAATAGCATAGGAACCCACGCCCGGAAATGTCACCATAAGTCACAAAAGTAGCTTCCATATTATGATCTGTTTCCTACTGTGCTTTAGAACGGGTCATAGCGATGACATTACTGGGCAGCTAATTTACAATCCAGCGGCTTTTAACTACTCGATCTCTTTTTTGTGTGGAGATTTTTCTGTTGGTTGTAGTTGGTCGCAATTATAAAGCAAGTTTTTATTTCTTTTAAAATTTGTTACCCGAAATAAAAAAAAGTCAAGAATTAATTTTTATTTTATTTAAGAAAATGCAAAGCAGGAGAGCGGGTTGTTAAACGCCCCTGGATTGAAAAATCGCTTCCAGTCCTGGGTTCCTAAACAATTTTAATCCTAATGATGTGTCCTAACTCCCCATGACGTTTGTCGCAGCATTTATGCGACCTTCCTATCATATATAATGTTTTTAAACTTGTATATTTCGACAAAAAGTAGACTAAAAATGCCATTTTAAAATATATCTGTTGCTTTAGGAGCATAACTAATTTCAGATTTGAAATCCCCATACCCGAATCAGGCACGATCAAGTATTTGTGTAAATGCAATAAAATTTTTTCCCTAGTTACAATATTTAAATGAAAATTCAATTATTACATTCAATATTTAAATGAACCAAATTTTAGAAGACAACAAAGCTAAAAAATTAGAAAACTTCAGTTTTCAGACTTAGAAAACAAAACTATAAAGTTATTTTAGAAAACAATATAACTTCGAAACAAAGCTTTTGCAAACTTAGTACATGAACTCTGTTATAAAAAGTATGTAATAGCACTTAGTTTTTAACGAAAAATGAAATGCATTCAGCAGGTGCAAACTTTTTTATAAATGACCTCGTTAAGTATATATTTATAGTAACTCAATTGTTTTATTCATTGCACATTCGTGTCTACTAAACTATAATATAAAAATGTTATTAATATATAAAAATTGTTATATTTTTTTTGTCCGAAAATAACACGATTATGATTTCTTTATTACTTAGGGGAACAGCGGGCAAGATGAACCTCTTAAGGAAACGTTTAAAAAATAGTAAACTAGAGCAATTTTATATTGTAAACATATAGTGGGAACATTGCTCTTACATATCTCATACAGAAAATAAATAATAAAGTTCAATAATAAAAACTTAACATAAACAAAAAGAGAG